GCCCGTGCCAGCTGCAGTACTTTTCAGCAATTTAAGGACCGAACAAATAAAAATTACTACCCAGCAAAAACCGCCCGCAAAGACCGGGCAGCCAAGACCGCTCGGGGAAGCAGTTACACTGGCTATTTTAAGTACAATAAAAGGCAACCAACTATTATCTTCAATGCTCCTGTCACCAAAATTTTGTTTGATGATACTCCTACAGCCATTGGCGTGGTGTATCTGGACAGCACCACAGGCAAAACACAAGAATTGCGAGCACGTAAGGAAGTGATCCTCGCTGGCGGAGCTTTTGACACCCCGCATCTGCTTCAAGTAAGCGGAGTTGGGCCACGTGACCTCCTCGACAAAATCAAAGTTCCTTTGGTCGTGGAAAATCCATACGTGGGAGAGCATTTATGGGATCACATTTCTGTCCCTTATGTCCTTAAACTGTCTGACGCCGCCGATAACCTACCAGAGTCAGTAAACATTGATGGAACTGAACACAATGATACTGCAGCGCTGTTTTACATTAATGGTCCATTCTCGTGGATTTTACACTTGCGCTCTAACGTAAAGGAACGCCAGCCCCAAGACATGACTGACGTGCAGTTGTATGTCATGGGTAACTCTAGCCTGTTTGATGAGACTGAAGCTTTATGTACAACCAGCAGCAAAACAGGGACTGACACCAGCGATGGATCTCGTGAAGGGACCATACGAATTATCGATCAATGGCCAGAATACCGCGGTTCTGTTAAAGCCCAAACATCAAGTATATTCGACAAACCTGTTCTGGACTATGGTTGGGACTATAAACTAGATAACAAAGTATCACCGAATTTCACAAAGGTAGCAAAGGTCGTTCGAAGTCAAATTCGGCTGCTACGAGAAATCTTTTTCGGCGAGAAAGCCTCTGAAGTCTCTAAAACATTTCAGGGACTAGTTTTGGACGAAGTTGAACCCGGGCTAGACAAAGTGACGGACGAGGAGTTAGATGTTTGGATGCGTGGAATGTTTGTCTCCGCCTTGCACCCCGCTTGTACCTGCAAGATGCCCGACTGTGTTGACGAATTTCTTGGGGTGAAAGGTGTGTCCAATCTACGAATCTGTGACACCTCCGCCTTTGCCACACAGATTGATGGGAATCCAGTGGCTACTATATTTGCTATGTCGGAGAAACTGGCAGACATGCTCAAGAAAAAATATCTTGATGATCTTGATGAAAAATCTTGCACTAAAACCAAAGGCAAGAAGAGCAATCTCATTGAAGCAGATTCATCAGATAGCAATGACAATTGCTTTGACTAAAACACATCTGTTAGGTGTTTGAACTAATACTCAAGTGCTATCACTGAAAAGTAGGCTGATGTCTAGTTTCATTTGTGTTATCTATTATTTTCCCTGCACTTACCTTATTGTAGCCAAGGAAATTAACGCTCCATGAAGTTAAGGTATTGAAAAGGACTTTCGCCAAAGGAAATTAACGCGAAAGAGAAGGGACCATTTCAAAATGAAGGACTTTAACGCGACGTTCATAAAGAAACAAAACTTGTTGAGACAACGGTAAAAAAGGTAGACGTATAATCCAAAATGGAAGCTTTGTTGGTGGTTCCTTCCCACAACATATATATATATATATATATTAACGGGGTCAAGCGAAGATAGAAATCTAGCCACTTTGAGGGTTCTTTACAGTTTCACTGTTGTTGGCGGATCTCCACCCTGATAATATACTCGATCCTCTTTCTTAGATTACAAAAATTAACACGACTTGCATTAACGCGAATTTCAATTTCATGAAGCGTTAATTTCCTATAATAAGGTATACTAGCTGTTTTAAAATTAATTCGGGCCGTTAGTTTTCATGAGCCTTTCCGCATATAAGAGGCTTCAAAAAGAGTCCAGTTTTTTTTCTCTAAGAACAACTTGCAATCTAAGATAGATGACACTGGCATGATAGTGCGCGTGTGTGTTTTTCTTTCAGCACTTCCACTCTGAGTCAAGCTTTAGTTTTTTTCCAGTCGTTCTGATGTTACCAGAGTTTAAATGTACAGTCGACTACCGATAACTCGAACCCGGAAATCGATTTCCCCTGGATTTCTCTCGCACATTTACTGTACTTTTACCCCTCGGTGACTAGAACCCTCGATATTTGGAACCTCCCGGACATATAATTTTACCCTCGATAACGTGAACCACTAGTTTAGGCGCTTAAAAAGGCGGTAAAAAACGGTGTACTGGCCTCCGAAACATTGATTTTGAATTTCCCATTGACGTGTTGTAGGCATATCAGGCTGATGTTGTTGTCACAAATCTAAACGTGAAACGGTTTTACCTCTTAAACAGTAAAACGCATGCTCTATTTAGGCTATGTTTTGTTACTCACGTTCTGATTTATAGTCTAGAAGTATCACACAACTTTCACTTATAACATTTCTACAATTAAATGTGATTAAAATGTTCAATGTACTGTGAAAACTGGTTTTTCCCTTAATTCCAGCTATTTGCTTCGAGCTCCCGATAACTCGAGCCTTTTTCGATTTCCCTTGAAGTGTATTTAAAATACATGGACCATACGTCATTATACAGATGAACATGCCCTTCAGAAGAGTTAAGGACAAAAATCTGGGAGCGGTTGAAAGTGGCCACTTAAAACTTTCTGAATCCTGGCTAACATATTAGTCTTTTAATCTTGGCAAAAAGTCGTGTCTTGAATGCACGTTTATTAAAATTTCATAGCAAAAACTAAGATTGTAAGAGGCACTAGCGCTCTGGTGTACTTCTCTCGTGCTCGTGTTCTTATAAGCTCCCGTGGACTTTTATAGCAGTTATTTTGGTAGGCTTTTTATTTCTTTTGTGTACATTATCCTATTGTAAGTACCTGACAAAAAAAGGTTAAAAGAAGTTCATTTAACAAAATGAACGAATACTAAATTCGGTAAATGAATGTGAGAGATGTGATGAAAGTGACCTTTCCCACGCTTGTGACATGCTTGTTATGTATCGGTCAAATCGAAGCTTCAACATGCCCCCCCCCCGGGCAACCCCCCGGGCATTTGACTTTTTTGAAAATTATTGTTCAAATTCCCCCCTACCCGGGCCAAAATGCCGTTCAAATGCCCCACACTAGGGTCCATTCTGGTCATCAAATGCCCCCACCCCGGGGACATTTCACAGGCACAAAAATGACAGAAGGACGGCTGAAACACCTTCAGTGGTCGAACAAAATATTTATAAATATAACAAAAACTGAGAAACACTGTTAGCGTATTTACTACGAACAAAAGTCTCGTGCAAAGCGGAGGAAATCGCTGCTACAAGGTCACTGAATGCTCAGCTTTTTTTCGTCATGCAACATACAAAGCGTTCTATAAAAAAGATCCCACCTATTGAGATTACTACATCATGACCATTTCACTGACATGCATCATCGTTCACCTTATTAATTAACATACTTGCAGTAGGTCAAAGTAGTTGACCTGACCTTTTTATCTTATTTTATTTTATGTTGTTGTATTGAATCGCCGATATAGGTATTGTCTTTCATTGTAAACACAACAATAAAATACATTCATACATTCAAAGCCTGAATCCAATATTATTTAAATACTTCAAATACGGCACAAAGCTTGTTTAAGCCCTTTCCTCGCAACCAATTGGCCACAAAGGCACAATCTTTTCCACGAAAATCCTCTAACACCGCGTCCCCCACGACAGCTCGCCACGCCAAAGATTTTACATGAAATCGAAGGTGCAGTTCAAATTCCCCACCCCTAAATCATGGGGATCAAATTCCCCACCCCCTGGAAGACTCTGATAATCAAATTCCCTCCTCCCCGGGACGGCAAAGGTGTCAAATGCCCGGGGTATGCCCGGGGGGGGCATGTTGAAGCTTCGATTTGACCGATACATTACGCCACAAAATGTAACATTATCCGAAGTGTAACACATGACGCGAAATTTACCAAGTGTTAGAGAAAGCCAATGTTTTTTACCCATAAAGGTATCGCGCTTAAGATTGTGCGTAAAGAAATATCTAAACATATAAACAAAGGCCGTCAAACTTTGTTGGAGTATGCTCTTTTTAGGGGTCAAATAGAGCCTAAGCCATGCCTAGATTGGTCTCCCTTTTCGACTGGCATGCCAGTTATTCAGTTATTTTTTAACAATTAATGAATGAGGCTGAGTATCTTATGAAGAATTATGGAGATCGAGGAGGGTGTTATACGTCGAGGCCGTAGGCCGAGGGGGATAACACCCTCCGAGATCTCTATAATTCTTCATATGATACGAAATTTAAAACCGAATTAAAGAATTGTTTTATTAGTTCATTCAGAATAATTCCTAGTTAAAAAACATAGCTAAAACATACTTACCTCCATCAATGTTAAGTTCATCTTCGATTGTGTACGTTTAGGGTTGTTGAGCTCCGCAAAGATTCTTTAAATAGCAGATGTCGCCCTTCGAGTTGTCATCTTGCTGTTCTTGCCATGTTTTTAGCTATTATTTCGCCTAGTTCTTACTCTAGAAACGAGTGAAATATCCGCCACTTTTGTTTTCACAACCAAAACAACTCAACCCCGTCCCCAGGTCTTCTCGGTTAACGGTGCATTAACCTGCAAGAAAGCTGCACTTTTGACGTCATCGGTTCATTAATCGCAAAATTCTTCCAAATTTGGTCATCAGTAGCTGGTTATGGTGAATTATGTGTGTGCTTTTAGCCAATCAGAATCGGGGAAATATTTTGAATGAATAATAAACATAATTATTATGTTGGAGTCCCTTCCCCCGTTTCTCCTTCGTTCAAATTCTTCTCCATCTCTTCACGTCTGATTGAGGGCCTGGAATAAAAAAGCTCTTTCTTCTTGTAAACTTTGCCAGTGCCATTTCTGGGGGGCATGCGAGACACGCTCTGCGAAATACCGCGAGCTTCCCAAACTACCCAATATGTTTCACAACAAAAGTTTACGTCAAGAATCAAAATATTTTATTCTGGACATACCAGGAACCTTATTTTAAAGGGGCTGTGTTGCAGCACTCTACTTCATTTTGTTTAATTTTGTCAATTACTCGCCCTCAATGGCTATGGAACTTAAAGTCAGCAAAGAAATTACATGTAAATGACAAAATCAGAGATCCGAGATAAACAAATATGTCTCCTGAGCATTATTTTTGAAGTTGCAAGCAGCAGGATCAACTTTGAAAAACTGTTAGGCTGAAGAGTTTGCAAAAACCCTAATTTCAATCCGTTTCAATCTTCTTCAGTTTTGCCCATCTGTGGCATCTGTCGTTTCTGTTATGTTATTTTAACCTTCCTTTAAAGTTTTAAGCGGTTATTTTTATGTTTCTCTTAATTTAAAAGGCATTTTGTAATTTCCTAATTTGGCTGAATTTCGTGACACAGCTCCTTTACGTTTCATTCTTTTGGAGAATCATTCGGTTTACATAATCTACAGTAGATGTACCTTGTCATATATACCAGACATAACATTGAACATCTACACGTTTCTAATAAGCCACTTTCGATATATTAAAATTCAGTATGATAGCGAATCTTTTTATTAAATTGACCTCAGGTGTAAAAAGGTCGAAACACTTTTCCTGAAAAAAGCCCTTTTCCTAACTTCAGTACGAACAAAAGTAATTTCTCCCGATAAGAGTCGGAAGGAAAAAAACAGCCACCCAAAATACAGAGATCTTGAGGCTGATTGCGGGAGGTTGTTAGTTGTTACTAATCATTAGGAAGTTTAAGATGCTCACAACGACGACAACGAGAACGTCAAAAAACGCAATAGGTTGAATAGGCAAAACAACAACTCTGCACGTGCGTCACGCTTTTTTGTACATTTGTTTGCCTAGTGAAAATGCCTAAGGGGCTATTCATATGATACCGGAATGACTTTCATTCTAGAACCAGTTCATTCCATCTCCATATATTCCTCTGTATTTCTTTATTTGATACCGAAGCGACATTTCGTTTCCTTACAAGTCATTTCGGATTTCATTCCGAATGAAGTTCTCGTTCTGGTATGAAATTTCACTGATTCCGATATTATGTACTGAACTTCGTTCCGAATTGGCCACTTTCGATATATTAAAATTCAGCATGATAGCGAGTCTTGGAGGACACAAACAAAGAAAGTGAGTCAACATATTCATTTTCTTTTTTCGTATCCTGTAAGACTCGTTATCGCTATCATGCTAAATTTAATACGAAAGTGGCCAACCGAAAAATGCAAACCGAGTAGTCTGGGGCCTGTGGCGCATGCGTATCTGATCTGGCGCGAGAGAGAACTTAGGGAGAGAACGCCTTAGGATAATAGAACGTTTTCACATTACGTCACGGTAGCCTGCCGCTTGGAAGTAATGGGCGCAAGAAAGAACACTGCGCGCGAGCTCTCTCGCGCCCCATTCTTTCCTGTGCTGGTTACTTCCAAGCGCCTGCTACGCAGGCTAACGTCACGGCGGCCATATTGGTTTTCCAAAACAATGAAACGGCGGCCATGTTGGTGTACCAAAGCAATCCTGTGGGAGTTGGACTCTTTTCTTATGTAAACAATTTCGTTTGTTGTCATGAATTTGCATAGATGCTGGCCACGTGAGTGAAAACGCTCTATAGGCTGTTTTCGTACGAATTTCATTCTGGTACGACACTCGTCCCGAAAGTCACTCCGGTATCACGTAAACAGCGTGTAATATCATGTTTTGTGGAGGACGTAAACATGGTACGACGAAATATTCTTTCTCTTTCTGAACGTGGATATGGTTGTTGGGAATTCGGCTTCGCAAGAGTTCGTTTGCATTAGACACGGTAAGCGAGTTGTAATAATCGCAATAGAGATTGAAAAAACGCGAATTCACTTTTTAAGTGAAGTTTCCGTCGCCATCGCCGCCGTGGTATCTTAAACCCCCTAATTAGAGGAGGATTAGCTTACGGCGCTTTGGCTAAGAAAACCAATTTTGGTATTTTGCACAGACATGCGCGCGCACGTGGAGGTTGAACTGTACAATACTATTAACAGTCTGTCAGCTACAATCTCAATCTTGCAGATACAATGTAGCAGAATTTCTCTATAAAATTACATAATGGAGCTGATTGTAGTGTCGGCAGACATCACACTTTGCTCCGAGCTGTCTGTTCTGTCACTGCCGCAGATACTGGGCTCCTTTTGATTGGCTGGGCACTCAAAATGGACACAATGAAATACCTTCCAAAGAAAAAAAAATTGAAGATTATTAAACAGTGGACAGCTCTAATAACATTCACTGTCATCAGTGGACAGCTGTATTTGAACTTCCATACAACCTCTGTATTTACAGATTATCATAAGTGGCTGCGACACTTTCAGATCAAGGCTGTCACTTAGGGCCATTGGATGGATATTTCCCCTGGCTACTAGGATCATAAACCCAGGCTACTTTCACAAGAAAACAAAAGGAAAATAAAACCAAAAGAACTCCCTGGCTACTCAATTTCCCAGCTACTGATTGCAGTGGCAGATCCAGGGGAAGGGCCTGGGGGGCCCGCCACCCCCCCTTTATTTTTAGACCAATGATAAAATTCTTTTTGGAGACCGCCCCCCTTATCTAAAGGTCTGGATCTGGCACTGGATTGCATATACAGTCAACTCTCCCTAAGACGGACACCTTTGGGACCAGTACTATGTGTCCGTCTTAGAGAGAAGTCCCTCTTATAGAGAGTCAAATAAGAGGAGTAAAAAAAGGCAGGGACAAACTCTTGGTGTCCGTTTTACAGAGGTGTCCATCTTATAGAGGTGTCTGTTAAGAGAGAGTTGACTGTACCTGGCAACCTCAAACCTTAGTGATAGCCCTGCAGATGATACATTATTACACCATGTATTGTCTTTTACTATTAGGCTGATTTAGCGACAGAACGGGAACGTCAGTTGACGACGGCACGCGCAGATCAAACAACTGGCTTGGCCAATGGCAGAGCGGCAAATTGAGCACTGGAAGTCGTGTTTAGTCTTTTCTGCGTGCTTTCCCGTCGTCAACTGACGTTCCCCTCCTGTTGCTAAATCAGCCTATTATCTCTCACAAAAGGACAAAACAAAGTCTGATGGTCAAGAAATGAGAAGCACGAGAAATTTTTGAACACCTGGGCCATGACGACCCTTAGTACAGGATGCAGTGCTTCTTGCCAAGGTCAGAATAGCTTATGGCAATAAAATTAATAATAATTTGGTATAGTAGAAATTTCTTTCTGAATTAACAGTAGTTGGAGTGGTGAAAGCTCCAGTACCTATCCACTTATTCCTTATATAGCAAGTGACCACTAAGCCAGTTGTAGTTACAAACAATCAGCTTTCTGAGGATATCTGCTTACAAGACTCAGCTTTGAAATTATTCCACTATAATGATGCATACCTCATTTGCTGTATTGTCAACACCAACAATACGAACAAAAACAACTGGTCTGGCATCAAAAGTAAGATACTGCCATGATCTATAAAGAAACATGCAGAGAAAAGCAATAAAAAAATAAAGTTATTATAAAAGGCATTTTGAAAAGATGCTCAAGTAATGTCATTCAATTTTTCACTTATAAATAACTTATCAAATTTATTATTTCATTGCAATTCTTCATAAGGGTAGTTTGAGGTGGTTCCCCATTGCTTACATCTTCCTGCTCTCGCATGGTTCTGATATTAAAACAGCACCAAATCTCGGTGCACGTTATCTTTCCAAAAATGATATAGCCGCTTTGAGTTTTGAAGTTTAAGCTTTGCATCCAAAACAAGCACAATATTTTAATAATTGCTTATAGTCATCTATAATAATAGTTCAGACCTGCATTCTTCCTTTGTCTTGTCCACGACTCTAACCCAGCTCTGTTGATCACAGGAAACTTCAATATAATAACTGTACCTGCGTTCGTCAAGGTCCCACAGAAGCAGTCTAACAATAAACAAAATATTTAAAAATAAATTTCTAATAAAAAAAATTAATAACAACAACAACAACGTCAACGACAAAACACTGTATGTGACACTTGCAGAACAGGCATGAATTTGTTTGTGTTTTTCTGGCTGGTGAAGGCAGGTGCGAAAAGAGCTAGGGGTGCAAGACAGGCATGACGGTGCCTTCTCCTGTCTTGCATGCTTCCCACTTATCGTCACTTGGCTGAAAAATGCAAAAAAATAACACCTGTTCTGCAGGCTACTCAGCATCAATCTCTCACCTCATTGAACCAATAATGTATGGCTGTGGTAGTTGAACCACAATTGCTCCACTTCCCAATTGATGACAGGTGTAGCCAATGTTCCAATCATAATTTCCAACTTCCCCATTTAGGAGGGCATTACGACTCCGACTCACACCCTCAATCACACTGGCTCCCAATGATGGTAAGGCTACATTCTCCGAGGGCACTGTTTTGATGGCAAAAAAAAAAAAAAAAGAAAAAATGAATAAATCTATAACATTTTTCACTCATGAAACTCTCAGCTGTAGCAGAATCTACAATCCAGGAAAAAAGTCCTTGGGACAGCAATGCAGTACTTATGATTTTCTGTACTTTACAGGTGCTGTCATTAAACAGTGCAATCTTTCAGAAACATCTTGTGGTTCTCCCTCCCCCCACCCTAAATAAAGTGGAAATTTGGGAAAAATTCTGGATACACCCGTCCAACCTTGTTTGTGGTTCGGGGAGGGTGGGGGGGGGAAGGTTGGTCATGTATGATTTAAAGAGAGCCCCACAAAAGCAAATGTGTTCCAAGATGTTTGTCCACGATTGTAGGTATAGAAGGTGTTTTGCTCATGTGGCCAGCATCTATGCAAATTTATTAGTTCAAAAGAAAGCATTTACGTAAGAATAGAGTTTCAGAGGATTGGTTCGGGACACCAACATGACCGCTGTTTCAGTGATTTGGAACACCAATATGGCCACATGACGTCATGTGAAAACGCTCTACAGTCGACTCCCGATAATTCAAACCTTCTAGGAAAATAGAAAAAAGTTCGAGTTATTGGGGATAAAATTATGTAGAAAATGACCTGAAGGGAAGTGAGCAGGAGGTTTGAGTTATAGGGGGTTTGAGTTACCGGGAGTCAACTGTATAAGTAGAGGGTTAAGGTTCTACTTTGAACTCACATAGGAACCCTGCTATAAAGAACAGCCAAGGGTCTCATAGTGGGAAATCTGTTGTTAGGGGTATTTGATATTGAGGTTGACCTACAGCATAAATTTCACTTTGACTGCAGTGATAAAATTCACTCATTATGCTGAGGGTTTTTCATAGAGTTAACAACCATTATAGCAGACACCCTTGTGATTGTGAGTTAGTATGCTTTATAGTGAGAATCCATAATTGGGGGAGTTTATATCTTGTCTATCAGACATTCATAACTTATCTTTATCAGTAACAGTGAGAGGCCAAATAGCAACAATTGTATTATTGGGGTTTCCATGTAGCAGGGGTATTTTTTAACGTATTATGTTTGACGGCGAATTGCTACACAATGCATGTCAAATGACACTGCAGCTCTTAGATTTGAAATTGAAACATTGCTTTTGGGCAGTCTTAAATAAGGAGGGAGGGAAAACATCTTGGAATGGTTAACCAAAAGCAAGTGGAAATTTTCCAAACTTACCTATGACTCCATCTGCCCCTAGCTCACAAGTAGTGTTGGAATACAAACATTCAAAGTGTACCAAATGAAAAACCTTGTTGACAGTGTTATGCACACCATAAACACGAATATACCTGCAAAACAAGAAGGGAAATAATCAGTACACAAAAGTAGATTATAAAATGATAATACTAATAATAATAATGATGATGATGATGATTTTTACAATTTAGCATTTCTGGGACAAGTACACTGATTCTGAAATAAGTGGGACATTATAATTATTATTTTATTCTGTAGTTGTCCACTTTTGGTTGACCTATGAAAACTGTGATAAGGGCACAAAAAGTCTGAGTGAAGAGCTGCCTTCAACTACAAAAGACTGTAAAGTCTGTCTTGTTACCCTGATAAAAAAAGCTTTGTCTTACCAAAATGTTGGGCTTGACAATAACAATTTTAACCCCAATATCCACAAACAAATTCTCCAAACTGATATTTATACATTTCCTTAAAGAACTAGTTGAGAGAATTTGATAAAAGATCAAAGCATTTACTCTTTATTAGCTCTTAAAACCTTCTCTTTTGATGACGTATTGATATTAATTTGAAAGGAGAAAGTTGGTCATTCTCGGGAGATAAAGGGTTAACCATTTTAGCTACCTGATCAACCTGGCATATTGCATTAAGGTTAATCTTGTTACTTGCCTGACGACTCGTGGTTTAAAATGTAAGGTTTGCCATGACCGGCAAAAGTACTTGGAGTAATCTATGACCCTTATCCAGTCTGAATTGTCCATTGACACCTCAATATAGTATGAATAAGACCTCTGATCTTTATTCCAAAGCAACATTTTTATTGTGTTGATGATACTTGGACGACCCAAATCAATGCAGATACCCCTGTCCCCATCAACAATTAAATGTCTTGTAAACCCACGGTCCAGGTCAAAGTGTGTGGTGTCGCCATCGAGCAAACACTCGCGCATCTCTCCCTCTATCACCTCAGCACCGTGACGTGATGTTGCTATGTTTTCCTCTGGAACTAGAATGGATAAAAAAAGTACACTAATGAGTCCCAAATGAGTCAACAAGGAGTGGGGGGAGGGGGAAGGAAGGAGAGCTTGCAACTACATCTCTGGAATGTGAATTCCAATTCCAATTCCCCTGTTGCTCCCTGTTGACTAAACTGTCAAATTTCCGCCAATCAGCATGAAGCATAAAGGAGTGAGAATGTTAACAAGCATTGAAAAACATGTGCCAGGGGTAATGACATCATTACTTATGTCATCTCTGCCAATCAGCATTTTGCATCAACTTTTTAGATGTAGATATTCAAATCCCAGAGAATGGTTGCAAGCTCTCCTTCCTTTTCCTGCCCTGCCGCCAGAGCACCCCAGAGAACCTGCTCGCAGGCTTTGACAAGGCCCTCTTGGGGGGGCAGGGGGGTGGGTATGTATGCCCCTAGACTGACTTTCAGATACAATCATTTTGTATTTTGAGGGGTAGGCCATGTCCCTGGCAGTATTTAACCCATCTTTATATCCTTAGTTGCCATTTCATCTGGTCCTCTGTTGCTATTCAAGGCCATGTCACTTGTCAGAATTTTCCTTAACAGGGCCTCAGTAACAGCAACAGCAGTGAAAAATTAATCAAAAAGTGTATTTGTGCTGCTAAAACTTCACTGGAATGTGAGTTTTCCATTTTGATCAATAATACATAAAACCAACACGCATGGGGATCAGACCATGGGGCAATTTACTGGTCACATACAAAGCTTAAAAATAATGGTAAAATATAAAACCCTAGTAAGGTTGCTTACTGGAGGTGTTTGTTTACAGAAGGTTGGGAAAAAGTTTGGTACGTTGGATCAGTGGTTGCTTATGAGAGGTGGTCACACAAGGAGGTTCAAGCATAATTTATTACAAAAATTACCCACCATTTTGTCCCATGTCAGTCCAACCCGCCAGGGGTAGGCGCTTTTTTGACTGCCGATGTAATAGTAAGTTAAGGCACCCTACAAATTTTTTTTGAAGTTCAAATATTCATGGGTGGGGTGGGCACATGTTGAGGTTTGGAACTGACCAGTGCATAACAGGGCAGATTTAAGGCCCATTTAAAAAGAACAACTTTGCGAATGCAATGTGCTTATGATGAGCCCACAATGTCTCATGTACATCACACCTACAACATTACTGATTTGTGAGTGTCACAGGTTTGACTTACATGATATGATTCATGCTGTAGGATTATCAGTAGCACATTAGGCTTTTAGCAGCATGGTTGAAGCTATTGTAGGCTGACTATCACATATGTAATTAAATCACACTTCCGTGTTTTAACAGCTTACCCAAATGCCCCCTGAAGTTCATTTCATTTACTCGGCTTTCTGTCTTAATACGAATTGCATCCAGAATGGCATCAGCCGAGAAAAGTTCTGAAGGGCGGACAATGTCAAACAAATCATGTAAACTTATGAGCGGAAGCCGAACTTTATCCAATATGTCCCTCAAGTCGGCCTCGGCAATTCCTTCTGCAGATTCCACCCATTCCCTAACTGCTCTAAAAATCTGATTTTCAGGCGCACAAAACGAGTCTCTCTTAATGATTTCAACCAGCCCAGATTTTGTCAGGCACGAAAAACCATCTGTCGATAAAACTTCTACCGCATTCCTGTCCAAAAAGCTCAAACACGTTGTACCCAAATCTGTCATTTGGTAAAGCAAAGCGGTGTCAAACACAAAACAAACGTTCCTGATGCTTAATGTCGCTTTAAGGTAGCCTTGAAGAGCACTTTCGAGCGCTAGAAATCCGTATTTATGCGCCAAACTTAACAGTTCTAAGACCGTCTCCTCTTTGAATTCCCCGAGGTAAACTTTTCCAGTGTAAACATACTTTAGTAAGGCGTTAAATGCCGGCGCTGTTGTGTCCTTGATTTCGATTTGAGCTTCCGGGTTTGTTTCTCTCATTCCACCGTATAACAGTGCTCTAAAATACTCGCTTCGAGCTGCAAGAATGACTCTGTGAGCGAAAAACTTTGAACCCTCCACAACAAATGTTACATCAGTGAACTCTTGTGAACGATAGAGGGCGCTAGTTTGAGATGACAACAGTTCTACATGATCGATTTCCCCGGCTGCAATATGCAGGTTTCCTAAACGAATATCGGGACTATCACCCATGAAAACGTCCTAGAGAAACATCTGCAAATATCTTACAAAAACAACACCCACTTTACAACGATAGTACGTGTCCTTCTTCGGTTAAGTTGACTTTTTACTACTATCGATTTACGTCAGCTTGGTAACCGCATTGGTTGTGCCCCAGGCTCCCGCGGCTCCAATACCAAAGTTAGCCACAGGTCAACGCCAAGAAGTGTAAGTATCCTGTGCGTTTCCTATCAAAGAGCTTACTTCGGCCACCGTTTAGACAATTCATTGAGTGGGATGCAAAGGAAAATAAAAACTGGACCAATTTGGAACACAAAAACGCAAAGCATTGCTGGTTTTCAGTGTCACGTCATTCAAAATAGATCAAAATAAAAATTAAAACCGTTCAATGGAAGTCCAGAATCTGGGAAATGAAAGGAGGTACATATACAAAGACTCTCGCCAAGATTCGGGTCAGAGGAATATTTCGTATACGAGATATCCGAAGAAATGTTTTACCCAAACTTATAGAAATTTGTATGGAGACGCCATGCTGGTGCTCACCTGGATGAGCTCCAACATGGCGGACGGAAACCAACAGAAACATCTGTTACCGAGTTTTGCAGCAAAAGCGTGAATTTATTCTTCGAGAAACTCATAAACATAAGAGTGATACTTTTTCTTACACATGAACTGTTTAGATAGCAAAATTTCCTGAATTAAGTCATTTTTTTAACCTACATGACAGCTCTCTTGGCCGTCATGCAAATGCCGCGTCACGCAAAAGCTTAGAAATTCAAGCGTACTCTATCACAAAACCAAGAACCCTTTTGAAGCGAAAATTTGTATGAAAATTAGTTTTCAGCTGCTCTAATGCATCGTGAAAGTAACATCTCGGTAGGATCGATAGTTTTGTAGTTTGGATCTTAGTGACGTCATGTGAAAACCAACAATATGGGCTGATATCAATCTTGAGAACAGTCCTGATAAGAGGCAGAAACCTGTTGAGTTTATGTTCAAATAATAAAATCCTTTCAATGCTATGAAAGAGTGGCCATTTATGAACATGAAAAGACGGACACCTTGGTAAAACGGACACCTACTGTTGGTCCCTGCCTTTCTCAGTTTACTCCCTTCATTTGTTCCTCTGTTAGACGGACATCTCTGCCAGGGCCTATTTACGTGAAGGTGGTGGACCCCAGCTGGGTGAGGTCACCCGCTTCGGAGGTAGGCATGTCCCGATTGCGCTGGAAAATTCGCCAAAAAGCGCTCAAAACATGGCAAAAAAGTGTTCAAATAGTGCTGGAATTTTGAAAAAGCGCTCGAAAGTTGCTCGTAGTTGCTAATTATATCCTAGCAGATAAAAGGATAATTGTGCATTTTCACTAAAACAGTCAGGCGACAAAGTGGAATTATTCAAATTTACGATAACAGAATTACTCGGCTTCCTGAAAACGTTTCGAGGACAAAATATTGCATTAACCCTTTTCGGACGGCTTGGCACGTATACGTCCCATACGGTACAATGTATACATTCCTCCCTGGACCCATTTAGCTTTCAGTTTGAGTTAATAAATTGGTAAGCAACAAGGTCAGCAAAGATAGATCTTTCCAGCGATACCTCGTTTTGGATATTCTGACCAATCCTGACAGAGTTACTCACAAAAAAGGTAACATTTTGGGGGTAAAATCCACTGCCAATTTCGCTGTTTACATACTACTCTTTAAAAATTAAATTTGTCCCTTTCCTAAAAAGTTAGCCAGCCACAATTGTAGGCAAAAGAAAGACGATAAAGTGGGAAACACAACCTTCAATAAAGAAGGAAAAGAAGAAAAAAAAGAGAGCGAGAGAGAAAGATCGAAATAGATTCGCAAAAAAAGTCCACGTCCAAATTTATGCGTAAAAACAAAAAAGCTGTTTAATTACATCAGATTAGCCGGAAAATATCCCTTTTTTCTTGCAAAACTCGTTTTTAGCCATTCTTATGCTTATTAGTCGAAAACTATTCCAAAGAAGAGGGATTGGTGAAAAATGCGGTTTTTTCGGTCCTCGCCGGCCGTCATCAAAGGGTTAAACATGTGGAAAATTGTAAAAAAGTGCTTAAATGTTGCCCAAAAAGCGAAAAAATGCTCAAATTCTGCTCGAGAGACAAGAAAGTGTTCTAGAGTGCTGGAAAGTTAAAATAGTGCTCCAAATTCGAAAAAGTGCCCAGCGCAATCGGGACATGCCTATTCTGTGAGGTAGCCCGCATGTCCATATAATGTCTCCTTTTGATTTGATCACGTTTACACAAGAGAGACATGATAGCCGGGGTAAGCCGCCAACCGAGGCCGAGGCGGGCTGCCCTGCCTGTCAGACCGGGTAACCCTCTTAGCCGGGGTCGGATTCGTGTTACATCAAATTCATTGAAAGAACAACAAACTGTCTTTGACGGTGCCTTATTACATCAGTAAAAATGACAATAGAAAGCCACTGCACTGAAAGTTTGCAGCAAAAGCAGCCAGTGAGAGTAGAGAGGATTAACAGCCAAAAAGCAGTTAGCGTTTAGTGAGGTAGAGCGTTTTTTAACGACGGACGCCAAAACAAGTCGTTAAACATGCCTTGACGATTTAAAATTTTCTGTTTACTTATAGGGACAATTAGAAAATTTGGGCAAAACCATTCAAAAATGAAAAAAATGACGAAGTGCGTTGAACCGTTGGGATGGCGCGGTTGTAAGATTGCACGTAAACGCGGGTTATTTTTTCAGTGCCGGATCCAGACCTTCAGATAAGGGGGGGGGGGGGGGGTCTCCAAAAAGTTTTTTTTCGGGCATCCGGGCCTTAGTTTGGTCTAAAAATAAGGAAATAAAGGGGGGGGGACCCGGGTCCCTCCCCTGGATCCGCCACTGTTCTTTACCCCACCTGAGCGGGAGGTCCCCCACCCCCATGTAAACAGGCCCTAAGAAGGGCACTTTGTGCTCGTCGCAAAGTCATCCCTCTTAGAGATAGTTGACTGTAAACACGACAGCTTCATAATGAAAGGACAAAATGACTTCAACATTGTTTTATTATCGGTCTAGACAAGAGCCATAATAATATGGTCTTAGCGATGTACTATTTCATTTACAAATGACGACCAATCCATTTAATAAATACGCTTCCTCGCTTTGAGATTCCTCCTCTCTATATACAAATTTTACAATTATTACTTGATTGGACAGATTTTTACATACGACTCAAAATCCAACAAGCAAATTTCAGCTAGTCGAAAAATGACTTAACATTATGGTTGTATGAAGAGTAAATTTTAAGCTCGGTAAATCAATGTAAAATATGTGATAATCACTTGTCACGAGCGTATTCCACGCTCAGTCCTAACATGCTGATTATCATGGTTATAATTTATAATATAGCTCCCTTTCTAGCGAAATTTGATTTCTGGATCAGGAAAGTAATAAACTAATACTCATCTTAACTACAAACCATGTAAAATACTAAAAACTGTTTGATTGCAAAAAAAAAAAAAAAAAAAAAAAAATACAGACTAGTGTAAGTTGTTGCCCGCCTTTCTCAGTTTTACCAATGATATCTAAACCAAGAACACTTGCAATTCTAACTATATTCTTACAATACTTCTATACTTCAGGTCCTACACCTTTTATCCTTGCACGTGTTCAGTCGTCTTGTTCTGGGAAGACCTTAGATAACAATTACCTCAACCAGGTTGGGAGTCCAGCGGTTTGAGTGAAAACAAGGGTTTGGCTAGGGTGCTCAATCTCGCGGGCTCATCAAACCTGGTCTCGGTCATTCTTATTTAAGGATTTTCCTTGTAGTGAGAACTGATCGCACAATTTCATTGCAATCAGCAACAGGCTACATGTTTTCCCGCGCCCGGCCTGCGGTTGCGCGTTTCCCGCGCGATCAAGTCCGGTAACACATTTGCCTGTGCTTAGCAACCAGTTACTTACCTCGGTCTCAAGTACTAGTTAGGCTACCATATCTTTACCTTTTGTGACTGATTCTTCGCTACGATTTGACAGCGTTTTGGCATAAATCCGTTCATAAGATCATCTCTATGCAGTGTGGAACTCAGTTCATTTTTGACGCGAAAAGCTACCGTTATGCGTCAAAATTTCCTCGCCCTTTTGGCCACAAACGTGTGTCGTGGCCTATAGCGTCTCTATCTCTCAAGAATAACTACGTTCAAAACAAAACTGCGCTCTATTATATCGTTGAGTCCTGTGAAAGACAGTCTAATTTGTATCACAACTCTTCCTGTTCTTCATCGGCCTCGTCTGAATCAGCGTCTGACGGCTTTCTTTCCTTTGTAGAGGCGTGTCTATACGCCTCCATCATTGCTTCATGTTCTTGTTTAAGCGCGGCATTATGCTCTTGAGCCCGCTGCCTCAGTGACGCAATACTATGTGACCTGAGGTCATCCCCATTTTCACTAGAAGCTTCCACTTTAATTTTCTCCTCCATGATCTTTGCTTTCTTGTGCATACCGAGTAGCCATGGCGCCGAGCTGGGTGTTAAATGAGGGGGGAGGGGTAATGAGTGTCGCACCATTGCTCCATACAGACCATACTCTGCCATTATAGAACTGTGACCCCAACATTTCTCCTTCTTTCGCCACTTTGCTCGACGGTTTTGAAACCAGACCTAAATGGGCGTAAAATGAGATAAAAAAAAAGACAATGAGAAGAAAGGTTTCATAACATTTGGAGTTCATCAAATTTTCCCATATTCAACTTGAATTGAGGCTAAAATATCTGCGACCTTTTATTTACAGGCTTTTCTTTTAAAAGTTTCCTTAAAAAAGAGAAGGTTTTTGCAAGCCTTACAATTGCTATAGCACTAGGTTGTAGAGAGTGACGGATAGGACCCCAAAAAGGAAAAGAACAAGAAGAGTTGTAATACAAATATTGAAGGGAACAGTAGGACTATTTGGTCTATAAATGAGTCACAATTTTCAATAAATCTCAACAAAATGTGCCTTGTAGAGCCTTACTTTTTGGACGCAGATACTCTCAGAGTTTTTTAACCAATGAATAAATAGTATTTTAGTGGCTGATAATTTTCCAGACACCCTGTTTCTGAGTTTTTTGAATTCGCCTCTCATAGAAAGGGTTTCATTTGGCTTTCGCCAACGAGTCCCAAGGGAATTACTTTGGCCAATCGCTATAAGGGCTGACAATCCTTGCTGGCAACTAGCCTTAAACGCGGGAAAATATGTCCAGGTCAGTTTGGTCTCACCTGATTGGCTGAGACAAGGGCGTGAGATTTTATCACCCAATCAAAAAGCGCAAGGTCTCAAAAAGCAAGGCTTCTAAGAAACTTTCGATACTCAATTGACAACCGCTACATAACTCAAATAGTGTTTTAGATATCTAGAAGAAAAGGTTTAATAACAGTAAAAGTGGCTCGAGATCTGATCATGTATTAGTTTGTAAACTGAGCAAAGTTAAACTGAAAGCGTGTCTTGATTTATAACTAAAACTTCAGAGATTTTAACTGTTGGCCGTGAGGCCGGGTGGATTTAAGATTTATAAGACGCTTATGGCCGCCGATAAGAAAACAGAACGGAAGTACACTAGCCTAACACAATTTTGATCACAAAATAAAACAAACAGTCCAGACTGTCATCAGTATTACAAACTCTTCGTCAACAAAAATAGTTCAGAGATTATCCGGTTGATCTTTCCTTATAGCAGAATATTGGTGGGTTATTAATTTTTCCAATCCGATAAATTAACTTCCTCTTTGTCAGAAATTCATGTCACATCGAACAGGGTCTTTCTTTCATTATGCTCCTACACGTAATCTGTCTTTCCATTGTGACTTATCTTTTCGGAAATCTGTTAGTTTCATTCTTAATCAAAACTAATAATCTTTTCGGCTTCTAGCACAGAAATAGAGAGGTATTAAAAGGTAATCGTTGTTTACTTCGCTTTTAAATTAATTTCTACTTTTCAAGGGGTGTGGTAAAGTTTAATGATGACCACTGAGTCATTTGAAAACGTTCAATTGTTAAGGACTATTGTTTTTGTTATAATGTGCGTGGGGTCTTTAAAATAAGTTTACGTAGCTATTAGAACCTTGTTTGACTGCAGAATTTGTTATTATCATAATAAGAATGACCTTAATTTAGATTCATTATAAGATGAGCAGGTTTATACGAAGAAACATACAGTATTCACCCGGGGTTTATTTTCATGTCAAAACGCGTATGATTCAAAGCATAATAACTGTAAACGCTACGATCGATCACTGTCATTTGATTTTTGCCAACGGAGAGTGGGATTGACTAATTGGAAAAAGAAAAATTCCCAGTGTGAACAGAGTCGCTTACGCTGAAAAATTAAGTTGATTGTTCCTTTCGTACGAAAAACTTCCCAAAAGAGTTTTGCTTACTCTGAATTTTCACCTACGCTTTTGCCAGTCGCTTATTAGGCTCATTCTTTCACGTGGTGGTCTATCTTTAAATGAAGAGAGTAACGTCTGTCAAACCCCCTTGAAAATAGACTCTATAGATCACTTCTTTCGCGTATATAATATTAAAAAATAAAGATATTAGGACTGTCTTTTAATTAGAGTTTGTTGATGCACACTAGCTGCGTAATTGTTAACACATGCTTAACGTAAAAATACCAGCAATTAAGAAATGGAGAATTACAAAAGGACCGGAAAATCCTTTATCCCGTTTATGGTTATAATTAAATACCCTTTCTTCAGACATTGAAAAGTTCCAACACCTTAGCTAACTTGGAGATGATTTAACAAGCACGGAAGGAAGGGAAAAATGACCCGCATAATCATTCTAAATAAACTTCGGTATTTCTTCTAAAAACACATCCTGCATTTTGTGCCGCTTGCTGTTTTCATGTTCCGGTTTTAAGGAAAAATTTTCGCTTTTTTTGAAGCAGTATAACAAAAATACTTAATGACTGATAATTAAGATAGTTTAGCTGAATGTTAAATTGTTTAGTGAGGACTACGAAAGACTGAAAAAGGCCTTGAAGTTTTTAAAAATTCCGGGTTGAATCAACGAAAAAATGTCACACATTGACTACCAAATCGGATTCGTTACACCTTGTTGAAAAAAAGACAAACATATTTTTGGGTGTTTTGTACTTTCTTCAAGTTGTTGTCAAGATTTTTCACATAAATTTAAATCAATGCATAGTTTTCAAGCTTACAAAAATCATCTCTCTTAAGAACTTAAGTCGTCATGGAGCAAAATCTGAATCAGATTGGACTAGCTGGGCTGCCTTTCTTGCCTTCATCGATTCTCTTCATTAAGAAGTACTCATCATTTGTTAGCTAGACTCCTACGTAGCTAAAAGCACCTTAACATACGTGTACGCAATTTCTATTAGCAATCAAATCACGCTTTTATTCAGAATTAAGCTATAAAGGGTTTCCCCTCTAAAATAGTTATATTAAAAAATACATCAATATAGCCCTAAGCAAAAACCCTTTTATTTTCCCTCAATTTATAACCTTGGTTTTCAAATGTAAAATTTTGCCCCAAACGCGGTTTTCCTTTAAACTATAAAAAGTGAAAGAGCATTTCAGATCATTTTAGCTTAAGTACTGCCATTTGCAAGTACTTCATATTATCAGACATATCCCGCCTTTAAGATACCATAATTATGAAAACAACTTTCGTAGTTTTAGTTCTTAAGTCCGAGCATTGCAAAATAGAGTGTTTTGTTTTGAAATCATTATCTGGGGAATCAATTCATGAATTCAAAAATTTCATAAGAAGCTTTCCGAAGATGTCGGCGGCGGCGAAAGTAAATGGATGTTGAAGAGACCGGCAGCTGTAGAAGAAATGAGGGCTTAATTAATTCATTATTTCATGCACAAAACAGGTTCAAGGATTCCACTTACCATTAAACTTTCCCTTTTAACTAACTTTGTTTACTGTCTAAACGTGCAGAAATGTTACCAAAACGACAGAGCAATAACCCAGCTACTCAAGACAAAGTTCTGATTATTTTGAAACCTATGCAAAGTCTAAATTAACCTTTTTTTCTTACTTATGCTGATGTTAATAAACGGTAACGTTACCAAGAAAGAAATATTTAGCGGTTTTGGAATAAAGGTGAATAAACTCGCGTCATACTCGAGTAAGTTTGTTTCGTTAAAATAACTCAGAGATATCCAATAAGGAATGCTGTATAGAATAACGTTATTTCCCGTAAAAATGAATAAATATATGCATTCACTTTAATCTTTTCGGCATTCTTTCTTGCGTCTATGAATCAACAGGCTTCTTACCTTCGCTTTTCGGAAATCTGAAGCAGTGAGCTGACATAAAATTTACATCTCAAATAGAACTTTATTTACCCGCAAAAGGCGCTGAACTTTTCTGTTTCGTAAAAGTGTGAGGCATTTTCGCGAAGAAAACTCGAGCTTTTAATCCAATTAAATGTGATTTTTCCGATACAACTTTAAGACGTTCTAAACTTCGAGAAGTTTTAACGAAACGACAACATTTTGGGTGCCGATCAAAACTCAAGTGCATGACCGACACAGAGACCCTGGTTGCCATATTCAGCAAAGGATACCGCTAACTAGACATGAACTTGAAGGAAATATATTTTTTTCCTGTAGAAAATAATATCCTTTCCTGCCAATGCTGTTTTGGCCGGAGCGGAGCGCCTGCGAAAATGATGGCGGCCATTGTTTGGCCATGTTTGTTTAGTTCAATTCAATAATGACGATAAAACGAAACAAAAACAAAAAGTCGATTCTGTTCCGAGAAAGTTATTAAACCAAACTTGCAACACAAGTAATTTTCCATGGTTAAGACTATTAATCGAGTGTTTGCTACAAACATACTTTCGATAAAAGAACGAGTTTTATTTGGGTCAAACAACCCTTCAGTCCTTTGTGGCCGAGTTGGATTAAACTTGTCCCTCTCACCAGGGAGTTTAACCAAAGCTGAAGACTTCAAAATTTCCTTTAAAAAACAGATTCAGTTGCACCTCACCGTTGAAAATTAGCTTTCGCAAAGCCCCCTGGGCACTAATATACGACAAAACAACAAACAGACTTTAAAATATTTTTTTAACTTATAGACTAAAAGCCAAAAACTACAGGTTTCCTCGTAACTCAAGCGTCCACTTTTGTTACAAAGAGCGAAACTCCTGAGTTGTCTATGCGCACTCGTAGAAACTTTCGCATTAAATTTTAAACAATATACTAACTTGCTACAAATGTGGCCTTCAATCCACCAAAAAATTTAGAGTAGTTAAGAATGGCTCAACAATTTTTTCTTATTAATATAAATAGAACTTCTTGCAGTAATTTAAAGTTTAAGACACCACACAGCGTGAATAACAACACAGCATCACTTTGTCAAGATTGAACCGGCACTGATAGTAGCAACCACTATGCTAGGTCAAGGATGCGAAAATTGGCTTGCTTACGAGAGAGCGATAGTGCTGAAAAGTTGAATGATTACTCTGCAAATTCAAATCAAAGCTATTCACACGAGTCACAAAAACGAGTTTTTCGATAAAACACTCGAATCTAGAAGCTAAGGAAAATTCACGTTTTTTGTCAAAGCTTTATAGTTCAAAATTTGGTTTTGATGTAACGGTGGCTGGTTCTCTCTTGATCAAGTGAGTTTTTTGAAATAAAATAACATCATAATGGCTTAATTTTATATTTTATACAAACAACGTAGTCTTGCAAAATCAATTTTAAATCCCTTGTTTCGGTTGTTGAAATATCAAAAAATCAGGCTCGATTTATAGATTGTAAAATCTTCTTGTTTTTCCTCTAAATGGTGACGCTCAACTTCACAACATCTGATTCTGTTTGAAAACATCATTTGGCGATATCTTAGGGATAGCTAGGGATGATGCTAGTGTTGAAAAGTTATTCCCAGTGAGAGTAAAAGATATACTTAAATGGTGATATCTTAATACACAAATCACTCGCCCAGGTTGCCAATTCATGGGCCAGTGTTAAATTACGGATTCAAAAGTTACGACAGCTGAATAGAGTTATTAATTCTCAATGAAACAGACGCGTTAAAAACGTCTCTGTGGGACAACACAGTATGATTCACAAAGTAACATTAATAACTTGCTTTCTGTCGAAGCGAATTAGCGGTTGTTTTGGCGAAGAACTGCCTCTTGCTATTTCAGCTTGTTTATTTTTTTTCTTGAAGCTCAGCGCAAAGTTTACATGTTTTGCCAGGAAAATCACCAATTTGGAAAGAATAAGAAACGTCTTTTTGAAAAGAATTCATTTTCGTGTGAAAAAAAAAAGAAATCAGGAAACATTCAATATCTCATTATTAAGTGGGGAATTCGACACGAAACCTAACTCGGTTATCCTTGTTTGTCGATTCGCATTGAAATGTAGGGGTTTTTCCGGCAGAATTTGAACTTTCGTTAAAAAGTAATTAGAACCACTCGCACGAATCTGGCATGTCAATTTTTTTCTCAGTTAATTCCCGATGTAACGATAACGAAACACAGAAAAATAGATAAAAAGGATAAAAGAATAGCAGCCACGCATGCGATGTTTCCATTGGAAACGAAAATATTTTTAATCGAGAATCACTTTAGAACTAATACAAAATCAATTGCAAAATGGTTCTTTTAGGAAATGCACAGAGCATGTTTTCTTAGTAAAATTCCTACATTAGCCTAATACACTTTAACTGGCAAACTGTGACAGATGCAAATAGCCTTTCGCAAATCTCAAGGCTTAATAATGCGGATTATTGTCAAGTTTGAGAACTGAAATTGAGACAAACCGGTTCACACCCTTTTGGCGAGTTCATTAGCCCTGTGTATATTTCCTGTTAGTCTTTATTACAGAGTTTGGCATGTTATCTTGGTATATTTCCGCAATCGTATTCTTGTATAATGTGGTATATTTACGTAATAATAAAACTTTAAGAGCGCTAAATCAACTTGATGGCTCAAGCGAAAAGGCCCGTTAAATTCTCATTTAGAAAGCAATTACAGACAACTAAATATGTAAAATTCCGCGCAAGTGAGAAAAAAAATATTCCGTCCTGGCGAAAAAGTGGTGATAAATTGCTAGAGGAGAAAAAGGTTCTAATTAAGTTTTTCATTATACCGGTCAATGTCCCCTTCTTTCATCTTTGCTTCCGATGCAATTTTGTGACGAATAAAAGTTCCTTCTAATTTTGAAAGCTTATAATTTAACGCACGTTTTCCGATTCCTCCAATAGCTAATATACTGACAAATACATTTTTTGCGCCATTTACCAAGACTTTTGTTTCCTTCCTTAAAGGTATTTCAGTTATTTTTGAAAAACAGGAGAAAATAAATTCCAGTTTTTTAAATTTCCCTCAAGTGTGGACTTAAGATATGATTCAAGATTACGGCTAGTTTGACGTGCAGTTTTGATTTCGACTTTATTATTACAAAGAAGAGAAATATTGAAAACAGCGTTTGTTGTCATATCAAAAGCACCTGCCCTTGATCCAAATCTGGTCAGTGTATAATTGCGGTAATTAGAAGGAGTTCATAACTTTAATGAACACTAATGAATGCCAATTGCGACTAATTTTTTTTCGAGCTTTTACCATCGGAGCGAAAGAAACAAAGTCGCCTAGTCAACTCCGCATTACGTGGTGCGGAACCATTTGTGGCGTCCGAATTCAAGGTCACCTTGTTTTCTCCTTTCTATTCTAGCTCTCCCCGAAGGTAATTTTAAAGCCATACTGCGCGTCAATAAAAGAAGGAAAAAAAGATTATTCTCTCGAAACCGAAGCAGATGGTTTTATTTCGATGCCGGGGATCTTGAAATGGCCTAATTAAAAATTTAACAGAGAAATGAAAGATTCTTATGTGAAATCTCTGAGATCTAACATTGCATGCGCATCGAACTCATATTTTTTTAAGGGCAGAAACCGTGTTTTTTTTACCTGGATTCTGTCTTCGGCTAAACCGATCTTCACGGAAAGATTTTCCCTAGCATACACGTCCGGATAATGGCTATCTTTGAAAGCCTTTTCCAGTTCCTCTAGTTGGTAGTTCGTAAAAATTGTTCGATGTCGTCTTTTCTTGGGGGTTTTCTTGTTCAGCGTGGGTTTGTCATTCTTCAGGTAAACGTGCTTTTCGATCTTGCTGTCCTCCGTTCCGAGATCTAAGCATAAAACATGACTCCATTGGATTAGGGTCAGTTTTAACTATTTGTTATTTCTATGAATTATCGGCCTCTTACTGGGGCTAAATCTGTCATTTTCAGTTAAATTTCAGAGAATAAACATGTATGTATTACTTAAAATTTGCTTTATGCAGCATACATGGCTTAAAAATTTTCAGTAATTCCCAAGGCAAATAGCGAAAATGTACACAAATCCTAGTAAACTTCTTGGGAAAATTTAAGGATTTACATCGCACCAGCTGCGTGTCTTGTCGCCTCCAGTTAGAAAGCCATTAAACTGCAATAAACTGTTTTGAAGAGAAACCAGAGGTTTTGTCGGTTGAAAACAGCGACAAAAATGGGCGATTGAATTGTACATCTGATTGAGAGATTCGATTACGCGTATTTGTATAACTGATGTGGAAAAGTAACGGGAAAAAAATCCTCTTTTGGGAGATGAGTATGCGATTTTGATCGTTCGAACCGCAAAGACTTGAAATGAACACCAGTCATTAATTAGGGACTAACAGACTATTACGAACCCAATAACGACTTAAAGGATAGCGTGGAAAAAACATTTGGAAGAGTTCTTTCTCGGTGGTATTTAAAATACAGTTAAACGAAACCTGATCTTCGCATAATGAATAGTCCTTGCACTAACCTGGCGAAACAGTGGCGGTTTTTTCATCACAGTCCGGGCTTCCTAATCGCGACAAAACAGGCGTGAAACACTCGACCGCTATCGCCGAATGCGGAGGGCTGCTTGGTCTGGACTTCGGGGTTTTCTCGCCAAGACCAAGAATGTCTTGAATTGCAAACGAATGAATTGGCGAGGAACGCTTTACAGGCGGGAATGCTTCAGTGCGAGGTATCGCGAAACAAAATTGAAGTTCTCGGCTCATGTTCCTTGATGTTAACACTTGTATTGTACACGCACGGCTTGTCCGGAGATGTGATGCGCACTGCTTCGAGGTGGTTCTGTTATTTACTGTGCGTCCGTCACTACCAAATATACCTGGATAGTTTTAATATTTCTTTAATCACCTTTATCTTCATTTTCCCATAATTAGCTATTGTCCTCAACAGAGAAATAATGCGAAGGAAATTGAACAATCAATTCTCGCTTGTCAATCAACCGGCAGGACACCTAGATGACACGCGTCACTATGAGGTTCCGTTTATTAGCTGTATTACCCGGTGTATTACCTATCGAACGGACTTTATATGAATGATAAATTGGCGAAGATTTGCTTTTTGGACGCTTCTTGATCGCGCATGGTACTTCTCTCAAATTTTGCAGCGACTTTCGCGATTTCGGCTACTCCTCGGTTTTTGCTACCTGGCGGGAATCTCTTGCCTACAGCATACAATCGCATTCACACTTAATTAGTGGCTAAAGTTTTAGACGATTTTTAAGTAAACATTCGGTACAACCAAACACGAGCTTTGGCTGCTGTGTTTTGTTCTACAGCTCTTTAAAACGCCATGTTTACAAAGCGAAAGAAAAGGAGGATTTGAACTACAAAATGCTTTAGGTTGTTACAGTCAATAAAGAATAAAGAAACGGGATTATCTTTGCCTTGTTAAAGCTCTCTTTTCTCGTAAAGGCTTTTGCCTGGCATTATCTTAAGCCGCGTGCCACCTGAATATCGCCGAGTGTTCGAAAATAAGAGCGCATTATATTCCCTGCCGCATTATCATATTCATGTATATAACCTAAGGAAATATTGAGCATTCTCTATCTTTTGTTGAGGAAACCCTGTCAAGGCTACTCGGAACTGAAACCGCAAGAAATGTCAAAGTTAAAATGAGAACTTCAATTGCAGAAGAGAGGAGAAAATTGACAAGCTGTCAGTCAGTTCAAAATACAAAGAAATTTTCCAAGGTGCTTCTAATAAAGGGACATTCGCTCGATGAAAAATAAAATAATTGAGATACTTTTTAAGTGCAGCAAAACGAAACCCTGTCTTTTTTATGCATACAAAAATCGAACCAGAGCTTTCTATCTTTTTCATTTTCTTAGTTTGTAAATTGGCTCACGCAGAAACGAAACATTTTTCAATCTCTTATTTGATCTTTTATTTGGTATTGAAAACGGAAAATTATACATTAAGATGGTAGTTTAACGGCCTATTTTATACCATGTTTATTGTTTAAGAACTTTTCCTTTCAAATAGATTCGCTACAGTTTTACTTAACTATCCAAGGCAAATCTGCACTCAAGGTCACTGTAACCGAATTTAATTTGATAAAAACCGAGCATGTTTATGAAAGCTTGCAGTTATTTCTTCAACATACAAATTAAATCCTTCAAAGTGAAAACAAAATAGAACTGGCTTGATTAATCTGCAATGCTTTGATTCATAAGACATCTGTACTGCTAGCTTTTACAGCCACTTGAAGGTTCTTGATCGGTTTTTTTTTCTGACCCTCCGTTATCTCTCAGACCCGCTGTCCTGAATTTGCTTCCCCTCGCTTGCACGGCTCCAAACAGGTCTTAAAAAGTACAGCTTAAATTTGTTCCTGTCGCTTGGAAATACCTGGTAGCGTGCTCGCTAAGAAACTTGATGTAGTCTGAACAAGGATAAAGTCTTTTAACATTTTAAAGAGTGAGTAATATTCATCCCTTCTCGCTGTTTATACCGACAGAAACCAACACAAGATTTTTCGATCAAACCAGCCACGACTGCAGAAAAAAAAATTATAAATACTGTAGTCGAAATCCACTAAAGTGCATTTCAATTGCACACTGGGGGCTCTCTGCTAAGTATCGGGTACAGTTTATTTAAGTTTCTCAGATTATTACGCTTTTTTAGGGGCACGTCCCACAAAACTACTCACGTTTTCTAAGTTTCGTGACAAATGTCAGTGATAAAATAAAAGAAGTGGTAGTGAAATTCAACGCTATTTTGGGCGCTATGAATGTAGAAACCTGCTGAGTTCATTTCCAGGGTTTTAGTGCGAAGGTCATATATACTGAGTAAAGGGACGTAAGTTTTTAAATCGCTTTTAATGCCATTGCCTGCGGCTAGTGTTGAGACTAAAAATGGCATAAGTATTAAAGGAGCAATTTTTGTAATAACAATTATCGCTATGCGGTGACCGATGTATGTTTGAAGTCAATTTAGGTAAAAAGTAGACCCCACTAAATGTATCTATGGTCTTTCACGTCAAAATGGGCTGATGACCGCTGCTTTTTCCAACAGAGACATTTTAAAAAAATACAGGGTTAAAAAATTCGTTCCGTTGGTATACGTTTTATTCCTCATTAAAACTGAATAAAAAAGGACAATAACGATGAACACAAGAATTGTAATCTTCAAGGTGGTAAAAAGGCCTTTACCAAGTTTACATCAACGAGGCCTTTATTGTGAGCCACGGTCTTTCAAGAACGTGATTATTAATAAATATACTTGATTTATCTTCTCTGTTTCCTATCGAAGGAAATCGTCACTTTAATTTGTTCCAGTCCAAGGGCAAATTAACTCAGTAGTCTTTAAATCATAATCCAAATTTTTAAATAGAACTTTCTAGGTAGTTAAAAGTGCCCTATGAATCTAGGCGTTGAAAGCCTCCAGTTTTTAAATAATTTGTAAAAATTTAAGATGAAAAAGGATGAAAATCAAAGCACCAGTAAGAGTATTTTATGATCAAAATTCCTAAATCAAAGAAAAAAGTAAAACATGAGTTTAATCTACGGTCTATTTCGACAGAGAATCACTACTTTTTCTTACTCTCACTGAAAGGGAAAATTTTGAAAACTCATTTAGAAAGAATCGAAATAATTATAACCTTAGAACAAAAAGCGGCTAATCGTGATAGATGAAAGAGTCCTGCCTCGATAGCGAGAAACTATTAAATATTTGATGAATTTGAACGAAATTGCTTACTCGGTTCGTCAAAGCCTTTTGCGATGCCGCGAAAATGAAGTGTTGACATCAGCGAATTTACCCCAGAACGGCAGGTGATTTTGGCAGTCACTTTGAAAATTACAGCTTGCTTTAAATAGTTACGATCCAGCGACTAATTTTCTAAGCAACTAATCAGAACATTTTATTAATACAGCGTCGATGATTGCCCTGGAGAGATTCGGTGCACCTTTGAACCCAGGAATGAGTCGCAAAAACCTATCCTGATTAACCACAGACAAGTAATTACTACTTCATAGCGGTGATTACCATTACTGTAATAACACTCCAAAAGAGTCAATAACCAATATTAAGTTGTCCAAGTGAGCCTCTTTCCACTTTGCGTTTCCAAAATAAAAGATGTTTAATTGCCTGGCATGAGATGAGCTCAACGGATTGTTAATCGGGTCTTTAGAAGGGCAGTGTTATTGTTATTACAAAGGAGCCACTACACTGACGAGAATAAGAAACAGCTGGTTTTAAGAGTAATTCATGAGCCTCAGCTCACATAGTAGTCATATACCGAACTTCGTCGTCTCGGTATAACATCGACATTTTCTTGATTTTATAAGTATAATCATGCAAGACGAGGAGCCTATTAAATTCGAAACCCACATTTCTCTTCTGCAGTTACAGCAACCCTCAATATTCTCTTTCCTTTTTTCACTTTTATCGCGCTTTAATAAAAGGCGTGTTAATGGGGAAAAAACTATAGATGTTTCTCACACTAGCTGCACGCTTTACAGTAATGACTGCGAAATGACCGTATTTATTAGATCAACATTGACTGTGAGTGGAAATGCTTTGATTAACTAAAAACCATGCTAACAGCTTTACGCCCAAAAGCAGTGGTTTACTTTGATTTAGACGAACCTTTAATTACCGACAAGAAAAAAACTTTACGATTAACAGTGAGTTATTAATTAGAGACGCCTAATGCATATAAAAACTTCAGACGAAAACTGAAGTACTTTATTAAATGTTAGTACAATACACATTACAATTTTCTGAAATGCACTTGTCAGTTCTTTGTGACATATGTTTGCTAGCCTAATAAAGACGCCCAGAAATAGAGTGAACGGGAAAACGAAACCGGCGCAGTGACGAGAAAACAAAACAGGAATTTGGACAGGGAATTTTTGTCAATGAGTACTAACGAGTTTGGTCATTTTAAAGTCGTTTTCACCAACAACTAATTCAGTCTATATATCTTAATTTACTCTCATTTTGGTTTGTCTATTATAGGCAGTTAGAACCCATTAAACCTCTACATAATGAGCGACCAAACGCAAACAAAATGGCAGTATATTTCGTATTCTTCTCTTGTCTCGTCAAACTAATTGTTGCCCCTGGGCCATGGCAAAAAATTCACCGCACGTTCTAGATATCATCGTCATTATTACTTTGCTACGAATTTATATATTTTTAGCTGTATTCTGTAAAGGTTTACCTAGAAGTGTTCACTTACTGAGTATCTATACATACAAAAATGTTACGCCATACATCTCTTTGTTGGTGTTTATCGTTCTTTTGGCATTTTTCGCTTTGTCTAAATCATACAGCTTTTCTTTCTTGTTTACTTCACAACTCTCCACCTGGCCTTTGTTTTCATGCGCCTTATGTTAAAATCAATTCACGCTCCGCTGGTCTTAAAAACTGGATACTTACGACTCAGTCAAATCGCGGTGTATCACGCCGACGTTATATCTTTTAAGTTCTGTTAAAGGAGCTATGTCGCCATTCTTTTTTTGATATTACAGTAGAACCCAAGTACGACCACCTCTCATGTACGACCACTAAGTTATCCAAAACACCAAACTTTTCCCAGTCAAAGCCTTACAGTTAGAACCTCCCAAAAACGACCACCTTCCGTATGCGAACACGACCACTATTAGGGGATGACGGTTTTATAATTTTCCTGCATTTTAACCTGTTGTAAGCGACCACTTGATATATAGTCGTAAGTTGAAAATACTAATGCAATTAATTCTCGGCTGCATGATGGGATCTAAGATCATCTAATGCTGACCGTTCTCCTAAAGCTACGTGGAAACGGACGCAACTACTCAAAATATTGTTAGGCCAACAATGTTGGGAGTTATTGCGTCCGCGTTGGCAGTGGTGTGTAAACGGATCCAGCAATGTTGGGACCTGCAGTGTACCCTGGGAAGGATACAACCCATAAGAATTTGTAAACTCCAAGGAGACCATGTGTAATGCGCGTGCGTGGCCCCAACAATGGGGAGTTTAAGCATCGGTGTTTTTTAGCAACGCACGCCAACCGGAAGTGAGCCTTTTTCTCTTTCAATATCCTTTGACGCTACCAAATTTGTATGGCTTAGTGTCTTTACTCTTATAGAGAAGATTTGCGCGAGAATTTGTTCAAAATCACGGCCGAAGAGTGCAAAAAGTCAATTTCCGGTTGACGTTCGTCGCTCTAAAACGTCGTTGCTTAAACTGTGCAAACAGATCCAAAGTTGTTGCGCCACGCCGATAACAGAACAAAAGAAGTATTGGGACTTGTTGGCTCAAACGTTTGACCAGTAGAGACCTTTAGTATACCTGCCAACTTTTTCTGAGATATAAGCGTGAGACTTTTATCCTAGACTGCAAAACAGTCGGGTTTTTTCTCAAAATCAGTAAAGAAATCGGTAAAGCGTGGCGTAAGAGTCTTACGCGCGCGAAGCGCGCGAGCCTCACACGCCCGTAGGGTGTGTGAGGCGAGAGAAAAAAATTTTTAAAAAATATAAAATAGAATAAAATATTTTTAAAATAAAATATTTTTAGCGTCTCTCCCCAGTCTCGCTCTCTGTTTTCAGCCTCATTCCAGACCTTTTGTTTGACTGCTCGCACGTACTTGAATACGCAAAAATACGGACTGTTTTGCAGTCTACTTTTATCCTGGGAGTGCTGGGATTTTTGAAGACGACGCGATCATTTCCGAAGATTTCCGAAGTCCGAAGTCTTCCGAAGAAGTCGGAAGTCTTCCGACGATGTGCGAAGTCTTCCGAAGACGTCCGAAGTCTGCCGAAGGCGAAGGTATCGAGAAAACGCTTATCCACAAAATCAGAGATCGCGAGGAAGGTATTGCCATTTATTCATTTTACACGTGGTTTTCGTTCCTTACATGGGTCTGAGTTAACATATTTTTGGAAATTGTGTCAAGCAAGACGGCAACAACTCACATTTTTCAATCAGGCGTGAGAAACTTTAGATTTAGGGACTAGGACGACAACGAGCACTGACGAGATTTGACGTAAAGTTTTCTCGCGTATTCTCAAAATATAGACTTCCCGGAAAGCTTCATTTAACCATTTTTCACTAGAAAAGCTAGCACTGTTACCTTTAGTGAAGGAGGTTACACCTTCCCCCAATCGCAAAATGATAAAACTTCTCACATTTTATAAGTTGTTTCCGCCACTTCGACATTCTCGCTAAAACTCGTAGTAGAGTGACGAAGGCTACCACGTTTTCCCGCCAAAATGACGCTGGTTCAAGCGCGAACACTACTTAGTACTGAGAAAATCTCGTACTCGTTGTCGTAGTCGTCTTAGAAACTAAAGGTCTCTAGCCTTCAAACTTTGCGCAACAACTCCAAACAGCACGCAACAACATGCAAAAGGGTTTGCAAACGGACGTAACATGTAATATCCAACAATGTTGCGTCCGTTTGTTTAGGGCTTAACAAGTTTAGTTATATACCATCTTGGTTTAACAAAAGACCTTTTCCTTACTCCATCATAGCGCCTTTCATTGATTCTCTTTTATCTCGTCGCGAGTTGCGTCTTTTTGCCATCTTCCTTTTGATAGTGACTGGCGGAGACTGTTGATTCGCTCATCAATTGCTTCTAATGTAAGGCCCTGTCAATATGAAAGAGGAGACAGATAACGAGTTCCGAGCTGTTTTATCATCTTGAAAAAAGAAGGACTTCCTGCAGATACATCGGGTAACCGCTATAAAGCCCTGTGCAAACGGACGAAACGTTGTTGGCCAACAACTCCCAACATTGTTGGGACGGTTGTTGCTTCCGTTCGTAGCTACGTAGCTAAAAGTTTGACGGTTTTCAAACTTTGAGCGACAACTCCCAACAACATGCAACAAGGTGTGCAACCGGACACAACATGTAACATCTAACAATGTTAGGAGTTGTTGGCCGACAATGTTGCGTGCGTTTGCACGGGGCTTAAGTTGTAAAAATCTTATGACACGATACCTGAGTAAAATCAGCTCTCTCCACATTTCTTGAATTATTTCCACGTCTGATAGTATGAGCCTGAAAAGAAAAAGCAGAGTCATATTTTTCTCTTCGCATTTTGCAACAAGAGCACAGTAGATTTCATTTCCAGAGTTATGGATGTCAAAAACTATAATTTGGATTTTGGGTTTTCCTCTGACGTCAATCAGCCTACCAAGACATCCTATGATTGTATGTGAAATGCTTTTAGGTTTCAATTCGAAGACAGCAATTCTGATTTCTACCCTGACCCTTACAAAATTTCTCTGGCATGACTAAGGCTTTTGCAAAGAGAAATCTGCAAGATAGAGGGTTGTATTTTGAGTGACGTCGCAGCCAGAAAAACCCAAAATCCTTAAAAAGTTTTGACATCGTAGGTCCCGTGTTACAGCTGTAACAGGATTGGCAATAATTTTTCTTTTTACAAATGACATATGTCCGACCAGGTCCCCATTTAAAACCAGAAAAGTTGTCGCGACACACATCATTTTATGGGCTTTTAATTTTTCTGAGTTTTATGCAAATCCTCAACTAAAAAATGAAACTCTTTAGTATTTGATCTGTCCGATCATCATGTCTGAACGAAAATAGAATTTCGTCGGACAAGGGTAAATTTTGGTAGCAGATTGTCCGACCGCTACTTATGGCTGGTATTTGTAGCTTTGCTTCTGACTTGCCCCAGTCGCCTCTATTTGGATCGCACGCAGAGGACAGAACGCGAGAAGCGTGATCGAAGGGAACGCGAGGGGTTATGGGTACATCAGCCACCCGCTCACCCCCAACTCTGCCCTCTGCTTAGGGCTTTTTGTCAGCAGGTGTATCACCAAAAGAAACCACTTCTCAACGGTAAATCTCAAAAGTTATTTTCTTTACATTGTAGTTCTATGTATAATGCGCTGTTGACTAAGTGTGAGGTCAAGATGGCTGGATATAATTATTGGCAAGTTGTTTTGTGCATTTCGTTTATGGAACGAGACGAAGGCAATAATAGTAAAAATAAGTAAAAAAGAACAAGCCAAATACCCAGTCTTGACCCAGTCTTGACCAGATAAGCTTGGTCAATAAAGGATTTATACATGACTAAAAGCGGACTTTTTCTTGCGGGACCAGCGCGGGAAATCCCGCTCGGGCAAGATAGGCCCATCTTTCCCCCTCGGGTAGCCAACTAGAACACAGGACTCATTTCATCTTGCCCGTTCGCGGATTCAGCCATATAATACAACTTACTGTAATATCTTACCTGATTCTGAGTGAAGTACTCCGGTGACAGTCCTTCAAGACGCAGAACCTTGAGCTCCAGATCAGCTAGTCTTTTGTACACATCACTTGGAACAGGCCTCCCTGGAATTGATCACAAAAAAATAGCGTTGAAAGCGCACGACTGAATGCGAAACGAAAATTACCTTATTCTTACTAATGGCGTGTTTCGGGAAAGAAAGCAAAGGATTCGCCTGATAGACAAGAGAGGAGAGATGACTAAGAACTCAAGCGAATAAATCTTTTTGAAATACAGGTATTTCGAGAAAGGTTGTCCGAAAAACTGTGCATGCGACAATCCCGAAAGGTGATATGCGATATGATCAATACACTGTTCCTGACACTGTAGCTCTGGAACCTACTTTTGTTTATTTCCTTTAGCACTCGCAAACATACGCCCATGGCCTCTCGTGTCATTTTTTCAAATTTCTTTGAAGAACAGTCAACCCAAAACCACCCACAATACCTTTCGGGATTGTCGCGTGCGCTTTTTCCGACAACCTTTCTCGAAATAGATGTAAATATAGCCAGTGACTCCGTGACTTACAGCAGCTCCAGGCGCAGCATAAGTAGTAACCGATTTTATGTGTGAACAGAAACCCTATCCGGTATCAGTGGTTTCCGCGCCGGTGCAAGAGCTATCCGGTACAGTGCGAACATAGCCTAATACTCAAAAGGGTAGTTTTGAGCTTGTATTTTCGTTTCAGAGGGGGGGGGGGAGGTACATTGTCAAATTACAATCCATCCGTTTGGACTTTGGGACCTTAAGCATCAGTAAAAGAGATGTCCTATAAGACACTGGAGTCCAATAAAGTGAGGAAGGAAAGGCAGGGACCAACTTGAATTTTCGTTTCTACAGAGGTGTCAGTCTTACAGAGAGTCAAATAAAGTGACTAAAGAAAGACTGGGACCCTCTAGTGTGTCCATTCTACAGAGATGTCCGTTTGATGGAGTCAAATAAAGTGAGTAAAGAAAGGAAAGGACCAACTCTAGGTGTCCATTCTACAGAGGTGTCAGTCTTATAGAGAGTCAAATAAAGTGAGTAAAGAAAGGCAAGGACCAACTCTAGGTGTCCATTTTACAGAGGTGTCAGTGTTAAAGACCGTCCTTTGAGAGCAAATTGGAAGTAATATGGGAGAAAAAACTGGAAGCGCGGCGGAGACACGCGTGTCTCCCTCCGAGGGAGGTACTCCCCAGAATGGCCTACACGGTGAGGCCTGTGGCGGATTCAGGGAAGGGGCCCGGGCCCCCCTTCTTTTTAGACCAAACTGAGGCCCGAAGGGCGGAAAAAAATTTTGGAGGCCGCTTCCCCCCCTTATGTCAGGGTCTGAATGACCGGCCACCCCCCTCCCTTATCTGAAGGTCTGGATCCGCCACTGGAGGCCCCGCCCTCAAAGGGTACCTTTTTCAGGCTTCAAAGGGTAGGAATTTCACTAGCTGAAGTATATGAAAGGGAAGGGAAAACTGTCATTCCGGACTGTAAAAATCCATAGAAAGATCGACCCAAAAGGGCTAACAGATGCATTTAATGTCTTTAATGGCTGTGAAAAAGTCGAGAAAACGTTCTGGTTTTGTGATTTACTCACATTTAGGAGACAGTGCATTTTCAGCAATTAAAAAGGATGCACTGCAACCTCGTCCCCAGGGCTTTTCCCTTAAAAAATGGCTGTAGCGGCATTAAGCAGGAAAACGTAAACATATACATTGTACTTCTCTTTTGAATACCACTTTTATTTCACGTTTTGTTAGGTCACCATATTCTGGTACTATCCTTATGATGACATTTGGCCTGAATTTCAAACGATTACTTCAGGTCGGTTTTACTCCCTCAGGCTATATGACTCTAGGACTCGCGTCTTCAGCATCCGACAGCGATGTTCTCAAACGGGGCATTCCCTGGTGATTGTCGGAAGGGTATTCAACAAAGTTCATTCGGGGAGACTCCGGCCAGAGGTCCAACCCTTTATCCTTTTAATATACCATTTCTGAGAAAAAAAGGACCCCTTCAGTATACCTTCTCTTGACAAATGGCACCCGTTACATACCTACTTTAGAAATTCCCATCCCTCTTAACGAAGAAAAAGGGGGTGCGGGGGCACGGGCATTAATTCGAGCATTTAAGGTATTATTCGTGGTCTGTCTCTTTCGAATTTTATCAACAAGCAAAATATAATGAATACAGATAATTTTTGTAAAAAAATAAAAAGTTCACGTCAACGTAGGACGGATCCAAATTTTGTAAACTCCCGTCCAAGCCATTTTCAATTCGGAAAAAATTTCGTTTGTTGATTCAAAAACATAAAATGAATACAGATATTCCATAATCGAATGTTGATTTTTGAAAAAAAATGAAAAAGTTGTTCAAACCCAAACAAACTGTGACATGTACGCCAAAAAATAATAAAATGAATAGTCGGTGATTGGTGGATTTCGATCCTCGGGTTTCTTTGCATTTCTATTCTAGCTGTTATTTTGATTAAAAACCCGCGTAAACGGCAGGAAAAGGGAGCAAATACGATTCAACGACAAGAGGACGGATCCAAATGTCTTAAAATATGATAATTATGCGAAGGCCAAGTTGACGTAATGAGCGTTCCTTGTTCTCTTCAGAACCAATCAAAATATTTCTGCGTTTCCTAAGAGGTCCGCTTTCACCTTACAAAATCGTCGGCCGACCCTTAGAAAGCAAAGCAGTTGAACAGCAATTTAGCATTACTAAGTTTGTGAAAAACAGCGAGTAAAATGTCTGGAAGAGGAAAGGGAGGAAAAGGTCTCGGAAAAGGAGGTGCTAAGCGTCACAGAAAGATCCTTCGTGACAACATCCAAGGCATAACCAAGCCAGCTATCCGTCGTCTTGCTCGCCGTGGCGGTGTCAAGCGAATCTCAGGCCTCATCTACGAAGAAACCCGTGGTGTTCTAAAAGTATTCTTGGAGAACGTTATCCGTGACGCTGTGACGTACACCGAACATGCCAAGAGAAAGACAGTGACCGCCATGGACGTGGTCTACGCTCTCAAACGCCAGGGACGTACTCTGTACGGTTTCGGCGGCTAGAGGGATCATCTGCAGACTTATAAACGGCTCCTTTAGGAGCCACCACATCTCTCGAAAGTTTATGACCAACTCAGTTCATGTTGTTATTCAAATACCCCATCTACAACCTTAAAATTTGTTTCTCGGCGACGGAACAATTTACTCTAATTGTTTCAGTTCGCACAAAAAGATGTCCGTCTATTTATCTCGTTTTCTTACCCCCACCCCCCAAACAATACAAAGACGACCAAATCTTCCTTTTCTCAACTACAAAAGTCTGGTTGACGCATGGAGACTCGTGATACCCATTACACAGATTTTCATGAGAAAAATCACGAGAAAATGTTAAGAGTGGCTTCGAAATATAAAGGAACGGGCCATGACACATAGCACTGAATGGCGGAAGCAGAAAAGAACTGGGCAAAGGTCATTCTGTTATGTGCACCAATCGTAACAAAGGATTTTCGATCCGCATACTAATTGATCCGAGAGCTTCTTTCTTATAAATACCCGCCATGATTGAAAAACTTCACACAAAATCTTTGAAATGGCACCAAAGGTAGCTGGTAAGAAAGGCGAGAAAAGGGCTGGCAAGGCTAAAGCCACGACGGAAGGAAAGACTAAAAGAAGAGGAAAGCGAAAGGAAAGCTATGCCATTTACATTTACAAAGTCTTGAAGCAAGTTCACCCTGACACAGGGATTTCAAGTAAAGCTATGGGCATCATGAACTCTTTTGTGAACGATATTTTCGAGCGAATAGCGACGGAAGCTTCCAGACTGGCACACTACAACAAGAAGTCAACGATAAGTTCACGAGAAATCCAGACCGCCATAAGACTACTTCTGCCCGGCGAGCTGGCAAAACACGCTGTCAGTGAGGGAACAAAGGCAGTGACCAAGTACACCAGCAGCAAATAAACACAAAAACTTTCTTCGATGATCGACACTGAGCAAGCTGTCACGGACCTTTTAACAAATGCCAAGACAGCAATTTTTAGGGTTAATAACACTTGGCACAGCCGAAGACTTGTTGAGTTTTACTTTCAGCTGTTTGTGTGTATGTGCACGTACGTTTGTAAATATAGTCAGTTTGAGAATTAATTTATAGTCTTACCTCAAGTCTTAAGCTAAAATCTCAGAAATCAAAAGTTGTTGCATATGCTTCAATCTGTATTTTTAGAATTTAGCTACCGCTGCCTTTTTTGTTCAATATGCTCAGATGTAACTTAGAGATTAATTTTTAGAATTAAAATATCTTTGTTCATAAAGAAGTGTGAGAAACAGTGGTTACCTGTGCTGATGTGCCAGTCTATTAAAGGGGTATTGTCATTATGTTCAACTCGCAAATTAAACATAAACATTTGCGCCAAAAATTAAACTAAAATCCGCTAAAAGTGACACTCAAAACTATGAGAGCTTACCATCAAATTTCAGTGGGAATTGTCTGACAAATGGTACTGCAGTGATTTTGTGACAGATAGTTATGGTGACTCCTGGGACTCCTCTTGGCAAATATCATGAGTCCCAGGCCAGAACCAATGAATTCCAGTTAAAAAAAAAAAAAAACGAGTCCAAAGTTGAAAATACTTGAGCCTTTATGAAACCAGACAGTTAAAAATAAAGTCTTTTTTTTAAAGCAGAACAAAGGCTAAATGATCGATCTTTGTATCCTATGGGACACATGCCACAAATTATTTTGCGTCTGGGTTTTTGTGCGTCAGGGTCGCATGATGCAGATATAACGAAATCACTGGTACTAGTAATTTTATCGCACCAAAATCAGGAATGTGGTTGAGTCTTACTATTTACAAAAACTGGTACATTTTTCACTTTTTCTCAAGGGCCTTGTGAACCATGTGAATTCTCATTCTCTTTCAGACTGCAGTTGTTCAAAAGGTGGATAATGCTAATCCAAAATTAGTAAAATCCAACTAGTGGTCTATTACCAATGTTGCATTCTGATTGGTTGAGCTACTACTAGGCTATATGTTATAGCCCACTTGTAGCCAAAAGCGCCGGCTTTGAAAACCAAAACAATGGTGGCTGAATCGTGTTTTGCTAGCTAAAGTTGTTTTGTCTCAGTATTTTTGACCAACTAGTTGGATTTTAGTAAAATAATAATATTATTCCTCTTGCCCTCATGGCCTCTAAGTCAATAGCAGCCGCTATTGACTCAGAGCCCATTTGGGCTCGAGTTAATAGATACCTATTTGCCGGATAAACACTTGGTTTCCATAACACTAATCTGCTTGATTGTGATTTATCTGGTGGATAGCACTATTTATTTAGTGTTTGAACAACCGGGGCCAGATGAGTGGCTTTACCTGGCCTGTATCCTAGATGAGTTTCGATGTTTCGAAGACGTTCTTCTACTCCAGGGCAAGACTTTGTTTCTAGTTGAGGAGATGAACGAGTTGAAATCTCGGGTCCTAGCGCTTGAGCCTCTGATGTAGTACTACTGTCATCAACTTTGGTCACTATGAAAATATCATTTTGGACTTCAGTTAGTATCACTATGAGTAATTATTTTAGTGGAATGGCATTAGTCCACTTAGGTGCCCCAGTGACATGCACTTTCATGGACCACTCAGTGATAAACGAATAATGAAATAAACAAAATGTAACGTGACTAAAAACTCCATCTGGTAAGCTGGTTAGAGGAAAAGTCTGCTATGTGACATCGAAATATTTCGAGTACTCATCAACAATTTGCTAATAAAATTTAGGTTGGTCAGTCTACTGCAATGATCGTGTTCACCTTCATAACAATTTGTGCTCTGCCTCCTTTAATAGTTCACAAGATTTTTAATTTGGAGCTTTTATGAGAAGCAAAAGCTGGTAATCCAGCTAGCACAGCACACGTGTGACCAGAAAAAGGGCCCCCTCCTTCGCAAGTCTAATGCACCTTACACTGGCCGTTTCTGGATTGTTATACAAGCCTCTCTTCTCTCTATAGAGTAGGAACAACATGAGAAAAGTTCACAGACCTTTGATGTGACTATTCTGCCCAAGTCTGTGTACAAATACTGCATCTGTTCGTGCACATCTAAATTCTGTCAATGTAGCAAGTTGATAAAAAGAAATGTTCATCGCTCGTTCCATGTTTGAGAAAAATAAATGGCATCTTGGCATCATATCAAGGGTATGTCTAGCTTGATCACGGAATTCAGATAGAGGGGACGATGCAAAGGAGAATAAAATAGGAATATTATTATTCCTCGAGCCCAAATGGGCTCTTTGGCCTCATGGGCTATTGACTCAGAGGGACCAGGGGCCATGAGGGCGAGAGGAATAATTGTTTTAGTAAAATCCAACTAGTTGGTCAAAAATATCGAGAATAAAAAAAATTTAGCTAGTGAAAGCTGAACTTTAATCCTTTTTTGCCGCCAAAAAGCGTGCGCTTTTCGCTTCTAGTAGGCTATAACATATAGCCTAGTAGTAGCTCAACCAATCAGAACGCAGCATCAATAATAGACCACTAGTTAGATTTTACTAAATGTTGTCATTTATTTTTGTTTTTTTCTGCCATATTTGAGGCCCTCCAAGGGGTAAAACCCACAGGCTAGGTGACATTAGCCTGAAAACTGGCGACATGGAGCTTTTTTAACAGCGACAAGCAACTGTAATGAGCAACTAATTTTTGACAGCGACACATCAAACGTTAAAAAACGACAGTGAAAGCCACAAATTTGCGGAAACGCCATATCAATTACCTAAAAAAAAGAGTAAGATGTTATAAACTTCAAACAGCTTTTAAGACTTTTGTCAACCGCAGTGCCGACATCTTACGCAAGGGAATATCTGACCATATCAACATCTCCACTATGGACTGCTGACCACCCGGGCTGTTACCCCTGTGGCCCACCCTTGATGGATTTCTTTTGACCATATTTGCAAGACCACGGTTTGTTGAGATCCAGAAATTTTGTTACCATGGCGATGTGACGTAATGACTTCTCGTCTCTATTGTGTCACTGACTAATAGGAAACCAGAATAAGTCTGTTTTATGATTTCTTCTCTCAATAATTATTAGGGTGAACATATACACACACACTGCAATTAAACAAAACAAAATTTAAACTCTTAAAGGGAAACTCTCATAGTTATAGTAAAATAATTCTTAAATTATGAGCAAATGGCCAATAAACATTAGAAATAAAGTCCACTGATGTTCTTACCATTACTATTTTCCACATCTAAAACACTACAAAATTCTCTTTTATTCAGCAAGTCCACTTCTACTCTTTTTCGTTGAATAAAAGCTGAAATTCTTCTGTCAATCTAGATGGAAAACCATTACCAGTAAGTCACCAAGTACATAATATAATAATTTATTTGTCATTAATTTTTGTTTGGGATACATGTATTTCTCTAATGGTTCATCAAGACATTCATGGTGTCAGATTATGCTAACCTCAGCTTTTCCAGCTTTGACTTGAATAAGTGATTCATCCAGTTCTGTGATATCATTAGAAACTGCAAAATATGATATTATATTCTTCTTAAGGCAAGGTTTAGCCTGCAAATATAACCTCTTTCCTCACTCCTCGCCACTAGAGACATCATGCAGAAGGGATGTCTTCAATTTACCCCCCCAAATTACATACTGATGATGTGAATCAATGTTTATATAATTATCCAGTAGCCACGAGATTCCAGATGTAAAATTGTTCAAGTTTACATTTCTCATGGTCTATTATCCTAAAGTTTTACCAAAAGTTCTTCGTGACAAGCTGCAGCATGAACTCAAATGCTTCTTGTAAATAAGATAATTTATGTTCCATGAAAAATGACTGTTTTTTAGGGAAGAAGTACAGCAAAGCAGGTTAATGCCAGAAACACAAATACCCCTCTACAAAGGTCTTAAATATTACCACTCAATGTGTTCTGTTGTTCCTCCAACTTTAATTTTTTAGCTGGTGGGTCTGCCAATTCAACAGCCAACTCTTGTGTACTTGCAACACTCTTGTCCTGAAAGAGTATTTAAAGTCTTAGGTCATTATTACGGTACAGGGATCCAGGATCTCAATAATTTACAACAAGAAAAATATTATGATCAGAAATAAACTATAATGTAATTTATCATCCCTGAAAGGTAGGATCCATAAAGGTATTAATGTACTAGTCAATTCCAAAACCACCTATCCCATCCCCTGGGCATTTGACTTTTTTGAAAAATTTTGGTCAAATTCCCTGGTATGTTGGCAATTTAGTTGGTCAAATGCCCCGCTGGCTAGAGCTTCAAAAAGCGTCAAATCACCCACCCACCAGGTAGTAATAAAAGCAACTTTTCAAAAAATTTCCCATGCCTCAAACCGTTTATTCAAATGTAAATATCCTACTAAACACGACCGAAAGTCTCAAAAGCTGTCTTATGGAGCTTTGTTCATTTCCATAAAATTGTTTGTTTCAGAAAGCCCACATTTTACAGGCTGGTGGGACCTCATTTTCAGTGAAATTCCCCACTGTTTGGAGCTTAACTCCAGTCAAATTCTCAGGGTATATGGGGTTGGGGGAGGGGGGGATGGATGGGAACGTTTGGAATTGACTGGTACATAATTTTGATGCAGAGGCTCAAGAATTAGCTCATCCTCCATATAAAATCCTGTAGCACTCACAAATGACACAAAATATAGAAGAACAAAAAAGTCAACACTTTTGAGCCCAGCAAAAAACGTATAAACGAAGAAAAAAGTTGTTAATGTGTATTTTCAGAAAATTTCCATACTGCCCTACAGAAGAGACTGAAAGTTTAGGAGGTGGGGGTCTCAGAAGGGTTAAGAGGGGGGGGGAGGGGTTGGTCTTAGAAAAAATCCTTTCCATGGGCCTGGTAGGGAAGTACACTATTTTAAAGTATGATGACAATCATCATAGTATGATTCAATCCAGATGGAATTAAATCCTTAATTTAATCCAGTTTCAGAAACAAGATGGGCACTTTCCTTAACCACCACAAAGTATGATCGATCGACTTAGTATATCTTCTGCCTTCGAGAAAATTAAGCAGTGATTACCTGAAATAACCGCATGTCTTCTACTAGTTCAGAAAGGTGCTTTAAAATAGCAACCTTATCAACTTGTGTTGTGAGAAGTCTATCATGGCAGAAGCTGAATTTTACAAGATCTGCAGGTAACAAAAGCTGAAGCAAAAGAGCAAATCGTTTCCTGTTATTGACATATTGTAGATATAGCTGCAAATAGCTAATGAATGATCACCTTCTGAAGGAAGCCCTCAAATAAAGTTAGAATCTGCCCAAGAATATTTTGCTCCATGTTTGACTTGATTCCGTTGATTTCTCAGATTGCCATGAAATTCTCCTTACATTGCCAGGCTACCGAGTCAATTATTGCGCGGTCGCTCAGGTTGCATGCTGTTTGTAGCAAAATGTTTTATCATGTGAGTTGTTCATTCAATTTTTCTCTTGAAATCTTCACATTAAGAGTAAAATAGTCGATGAAATACTTTCGTTTACTGATTATTTTTCTTCTTTAGATATCCCTGGAGCACGAAATCTTGCTTCATCCGCGATATTTTGGACCCAACTTGCTACAAACAGTGAAGCAGAAGCTTTTCACAGAAGTTGAAGGAACTTGTAGTGGAAAGTGAGGACTCAGGAGTTATTTACTATTTTACAGATAGATCCGTAAAATTATGTTTACTATGCTTCTTTCTTTTGCCTAAACGTTGAACTGTACTAGGTGAAGTTGTTTGTGGCGGCAAACTTATAGATCTTTATATAATTAGCGGTTTTGCAATTTTTCTTGCATTGCTTATGATGCATGTGTTGCTTGAGTTTTCATGTTAGAGGTACTTCAATGGTAGATCGTCCGTTTTGTGTTCCCTGAACAATTATTTTGTTCTGTGTAACAATGAAACTTTGGACAACAGTACTTTAATTGTGTTGAATCTTTTGGTTATGATAATTTGTTAGGTATGGATTTATCATTGCTGTTACCACAATTGACAACATAGGAGTTGGTCATATTCAACCTGGGAGAGGATTTGTTGTCTATCCTGTTAAATACAAGGTGATATCTCCCATTCTCTTATCAGGGTAGTGTTGCTAGCTTGTATAAACAGCCATAGACCTCTCCTTGCTCTCTGCTTGGGACATTTTGTTAGGAGGGACATATTATGCACCTCAGCAACAGAAATTCCATGCTGATGGTGTAACATAGTGTTCACATGATAAATCCGTTAGTCATGGAGTTCCAAATGAAAAAATTGTTCGATTTTTTGTTTTTCCTGGTCAATTTTGGTAAAGTTTTGTGTTCTTCTGCAAAAAAGCCCCAGCGAAACTCAAATACGTCTTCTAAAGAAGAATATATTCCACAAATATTGACTGTGTTTTTGTAGATTTATTGCATTTGCATTTGACCTTTGTGGCTTTTTGTCTGTCATTATTAAACAATGGCTAAAACAATAGAACTACTATGTCAACCAATCAGAGCTCCTGACCAGATTCCATATATACAGATCCATCAGTATGGAGTTTCTGTACGTTGCTGAGGTGCAGATGTCTCTCCTGGTGGAATGTCCCTAGCAGCGAGGAGCTAGAAGAGATGGCTGTTTTCATAGGCTATAGTGTAGCCTGCATGCAGACATCTCCTGTTTGACAAAGGAAATAGGAGATGTCTGCATGCTGGAGGCTAGAGTAGACTGTGTGGAGAGTGATGAGAATCTGGAACAAATTTGTCAAAAAAAAAAAACAGAACAAATAAAATAACCAGCTAATTAATTGTATTTAGAGAGGGCGACTTTTAACAGTTTCAACTCATTAACCCTCTATGGCCCTCTAATAATGTCCCCAACTAATTGGAGACACTTTCCAGATCAAATTCGAATTTTGAGTAACTGTCTTATTTCATTTTTGTCCCAAACTCTTCTTGAGTAATTTGTATGAGAGGGTTGTGTTATCTGCTCCTGCCACTTCATTGCTTGGAAATCACCAAGCTTAAATTTGATTTCTTTGGGCCTTGAAACATTCATAGACCTCTGAAGAGGATGGCATCATGTATTTTGGTAGGAACATTTGAAATGAATTACTATTCCTCCCATGATCTTCACGGTCATCACATTTATTGTGAGACAGCTGCATCTCCTTTGATCTTCTTGGAAGAGTAACGAGAGCTTTTGAGATAACCACGTGTACAGCTAATTGAAAAATTATAATGAATCAGAAACAGCTAAACCTGACCAAAAAGGTTTTTGAATTAACCTTGGAGTTCTATATTTTTTATTATCAACATCTGGCAATTTTTTTTTTTTTTTTTTTACAGGCCATTGTTTTCAGACCATTCAAGGGAGAAGTTTTAGATGCTGTAGTTACACAAGTGAACAAGGTATGCTAGTCAAATTGAAGGAAATTTGTTACTTTCCGATGTTTACAATGTGTAAATCAAATGGGTAACAACTTTTTTGTGTGAAGACTTGAACATCTGTCATTTCTGCATTATTTTTACACTTTTTAGGTTGGGTTGTTTACTGATATTGGTCCTCTCTCTTGTTTTGTATCAAGACACGTAAGTATTTCTTGACTGCATTTATTTATTTTGTAAAAAAGTAAATACTTGTTTTGCGCATGTGCCTGTCCTTATTAAAACTGGATAAAATCATCAGGGATGGACCCTTAGAAAAGTGAGGGGGAATGAACAAAAAAAATTGCTACATGAAATATTCTTGTAAAATAATATGCATACACCTGGAACTGGCAGAAAGAGTACATACAAGCTGAGAGAAAAGCATGGACACATAGCAAACACCAAAAAATTTTCAATTCACGCAAAGCAAAATATTCCTCGCCCCCTCTTTACTTTTCTAGAATGGTCTGTTCCTTTGGGTACCTTGCCAGAAACACTTTCAATCAGTGACTTTCAGTCTATACACTATTAAAATTTGTTATACTTCTTTTTTTAGTCCATACCCTCTGACATGGAGTTTGATCCAAACTCTAATCCACCCTGTTACAAGACACAAGATGAGGTACAAAGAATTCCTGCTTTATCAATGTGTGCACTTGTAAAATGTGTTCAAGAGCTATACCAGTGCTTATTTTGAGCTTTTGTCTTGAAACCTAGAGAAACTCCCCTCCTTTGCATAAGTAACTGTTATTGTTGCATTATTGCAACTTTGTTCTTCAGGACATTGTCATCCAGCAAGATGATGAGATACGTCTTAGAATTGTGGGAACTAGAGTTGATGCTAATGATATTGTGAGTACAACAGTTTACTTGCTGGTGGTACATGTACCATGTCTTGTAAACCAAACGACATATCTGGCCTAGCCTACAAAGCGCAGACGTATTTCCGGTTGTCGCTTCTCTCCCTCCGAAAATAGGGAGGGAGGAGAAGTGACGACCTCCTTCACTTCTTTACTGCACACCTTGATTAGTCCAGATTCCTTTGTTTGTGTGTGTTTTTTAATATTTCAATGCTATGGCCGAATATTGCACATTGCTGTAGAATTGTTGTTTCTCTTGCTTCTGACCAACCCCATAACATAATTGTCATCTATTTTCCCTGATTTCCCTACCCTGACTTTTGTTAACTTTCCATCTCCCTTCCCCTCCCGTTAAAAAATACCTGGGGTAAGGCAGACAGTGAAGGAACCAGCATAAGGTGTCTGCTTTATAGGGAGTCAGTGAAAAGGACAGACCAACTCTAGGTGCCCATTTTAGATGTCACGGGTGTGCATCTCTTAGAGGTGACGAGTGTTCTTACCATGATTTTCCACCCTGGTGTTCACGGGAACCACAGAGAAGCTAAAAGGGGGTCATGAGGGAGAAAAGCAGGTCACAATTTTTTAGATACAGTTAACTCTCAATGTTTAACTCACAGGTCTGAGTAGATGATAAAATTTATGTATGTAAAAAGTGGATATTTAATATCCACTTCTTACATATAGTCACCCTAATAATTTGATTTAATGGGGTGCTTATTTACTTTTGTTACCTCAAGGGAGGGCCCTTAATTGAGACAGGGTGCTTATTCAGGACAGGGCACTTATTTCTTTTTTTGAGAAACAACCAAATGCGCAAAACAAAACTTTAGTATTTCTTAAAAAGGAACAATAACAGAAACTGTAACAGTAACAAATATATGACAAATGTTTAGTTAACGCGAGGGAATTTTAATCTATTTCTATGCTGATAGCTTTGACAATGTCTCTTACTGTCATCAATATGGTAAAAATAAAAGCTTTCTAGTGTGGTATCTTGGACATCCAATTTGTTAATCCCGTCAAAAGGATCCTTGTCGTGTGAAAATAAAATATGTAATGGACTTGTCCCTGGATTCTTCCTTGCCAGAATGACCAGCTGAGCAATCACCACAGCTTTTGAAGAAGAGATCATTCACTTGAAGAATTTATGCACTCATATAGACATAGTAGTTGAGAAACTCAGACAAAGACCTCTGTTTTTGAAATGTGGCATTGCCGTTCGTTTGTGAGCAATTAATGGAAGATGAAGCTCGTTGATATGTACTTGTACTCTGTATTGTAATATTAGAATAGGGGTGCTAATAAGAATGGGGGCGCTTATTCGAAAGGGGGCACTTTATATTGGAAGGAGGGCGCTAAATTGAATCATTACAGACAGTAACTCAAGGTTTTACAGCTCTGAGTTAGAGTAAAGATGCCTGCATAACCAATTATATTTTGGCGTATCTTATAAGGAAATATACGTATGTGTATTGATATATTGTATGTATTGATCTATATTTTTTAGTCTCTTGACTCAAGTGACTTTGTTAATTTCTATCATCTTACAGTTTGCCATTGGGTCACTTATGGATGACTATTTAGGTAAGAGCTGTTTGGCAGCAGGCATACAATGTACATTAATTTTATCAGTGCAGCTTTGTTACTTGCCAAGCAAGCAAAGTGTGAAATATTGATCCTCTCGAATGTAAATTTATTTTTAATTATTCCGTATCGATTTGGTTGCTGTTAAAATGAAGGATCAGATTGTCAGCTCTGTAGGAAATGGCTGGTGTTTCTTAGGCATATGAACCCAGAATAAGAATGACAAGCTGAGCAATTTTACAAACAAAACCACATCAACATCACCAAATTTATCTAGATTGTTTGTATGTTATTGTCCCACAGACACTTGGAATGTTTTGTTTTTTCTAACATGGTACTTCAAAGCAAATTTGCTGTAAAAGTGAATAAAAAAGTATTTTCCTGCCTATTGCATCCAAGCTGACACAGACATCAGTGCTGACATGTACATGCATCTGTGTTACATCTGTGTTTCTCACTTTAAGGCCACTTGGGATACCTATCTTTGAATAAATTCATAAGGCAAAATTTTACATGTAGTACTTCTTTTAAAATGCTCATATCTCAGCTGTTTTAAAGGTGATTTAGTTAAAATTGTACAGAGACATTAGAGTAGAATTGATGGAAGTTTAGGATGGTTGCTTTTTATTACTCAAAAGTAGATTGCACTTTATGCCAATGCTTTAAGCGACAGTTGTACCAAATTGGGAAATTGTGATTTTGTGTCCAAGTATGCGGAAAGAATAGAAAATGGCACTTTGCAATTTTATTTATAAATTATTGGTCAAAACCTCTAGTGTGTCTTGTATAGAGCCGATTTTACAATATTGAACATTCTCAAGCAAGATATAAACAATTATTGTTTAAATGAACAGAATCTGCCATCCCTGAAATTAACACCTTACATCGTTTTATACAAGTGCTCTTTTAGAAGTCTGCTTTGTACATGACACACTACTGTCTACCAGGTTTACCCCACTGCGGTGCCAGCTCGTGAAGTTTTGTATCTGCACTGAATTCTTCGACACAAAATTGTCAGAAAGGTCAAATTTTGAGACTCCCAAATAAAGCACGAGCTCCAAGCAAGATATGCTATAAATTGTGGTAATTATGGTTAATTGCAATCCATGCTTTAATTCTGTTTATAAGCTGCAATGTTTTCAAGGATTTTTGACACCAAAAAAAACCGTATCTGTACAAACAAAGAGTTTTGGTATTAAATTTTGTTGAAATTTCAGAAGATTTTCTTATTTTTATTGATTTAAAAATCACTGAAACAAGGTTCACTTCGGCCTCAGTTTTTCGCTCTGAAAAAAAAATTTTGTCAGCAGTATCCATGCCACATGTACACATGCACACTTTAAAATTATGTGCTCATCTTTTATTCAGTTATGAATATGATAGTCATTGTATTTCATGCATATGCTTTAAATAGATGCATAACAATTAGCCCAAGGTGTCCTCTGCTACCTTAATATAGTTCTGGCCTCGACTTTACTTGTAAAAGTAAGGGGGAGGAGGTAGGGGGTTGAGGGATGGGCCACAACTGTTTTTAAAATATTTTAAAATATTTTAGGCCCTGATACAACCACCTTTCACTGGACCTGAAATGTACCTTATCGATGCCTGAAGTGGATGGGAGTAGATATACAAGTGTTTGTTTTCAGGCTTCAATCCTGTCTTAACTCTCTAGGCATTGAAATCTGTAAAGGCTAAAACATGCTGTGAATTTTTGCAGGTGATCAAGTAAACTAACTTATTTGTTTCTTTTTGTTGCAGGACTTGTCAGTTAATGAGTGGTTATTTTCTTTAAGTTTTCTGAAAGAGGCCTTGGCAAACAAGTGACATAAAACCAACATCTCACATTTTTTAACTCAAAGTTTAGACAGAAGTTTGTCCAGAAGCTTGTTGGATGTTAGGTCATTTCTTTGAATACACAGTCAACTCCTTTAAGTGTCTGCCTCACAGAAAGTCAAACAAAATGACTGCAAAGTGGCAGGAACTATATAGGGGACAGTCCATTTTGGGGGAGTTTCTGTTTAGAGACTTAAGTGTCCACAGACGAAACTAAACCTCTGGTTAAATCTGTCTGCAAGTCAGCACTAAAATCCTCGGCCACCACCTGTGTACCCAAGGATTTGAGTATGAGCCATGATTGGCCTGTTGAAAAAGCCATGGTCGATTTGCCAGTCGAGTTGAAGAAAAATCTGAAACGCACTTCTGGTAATTTCTTGAGTCTGTTTAGAACTCAGAACAAGGATCTTGGTGCTGCTTTTTAGACATTACTTGCTGACTAGCCAGGGTTAGATTACGTCTGTGACACAGGCTATAGAAATCAGGACTGTCCGTAGTGTTTCAAGTTGTTGGGTATATGCAATGAGTAGAAGGAGCTAGAAAGTTTAGCCTGAGAAAACAGTCGACATTTGGTGACACTACCACTGGTTTCCCCGCCAAATGGCATCTTAGAAACGAGCATAGAAATTCCTTACTGATGATGCATCACTACCCAGATCTAGGTAGGGCTTCTGATTGGTTGAATCAAATTTTCTTTGCGGCACGACCAATCAGAAGCACTAATGAGATCTGAGTAGTGACGCATCATCAGTATCAAATGGAATTTCTGCGCTTGTTTCTCAGACATCATTTGGTGGGGAAAAGGTCAAAGGTCGGCTGTTTTCTCAGGCTACTTAAAGATTATTTCTACCCTGCATGATCATGCATTTCCTGGTCATTTTCACAGAGTTGCTATTGTTTTTTACTTCTTCAATATGGACTGTTTATCTAGAAATAATTAAAGCTATCACAGTAATTATATATTCAAAACTTTTAATAATATTCCTTTGTTTGGTTTTGTACAATTTTTAACTTAATCATAACTATAACAAAATTCTTAACTCTGATTGGCTAACAACTGCCCTGATTTCAGCCTTAATAGGACAGTTAAATAGGACAGTACGCCTCATGCCTAAGTAATTGGACAGTACGCGCCATCACGCACGCGCTTAAATGGCTTTTTTGTTTTCACTGCTAGCAAAAAAATCTCGGAAATTTCTCGTGTTTTGATTTTAAAAAACAGCCTAATATATCACAAATTTTGTTAAAGTTATGATTAATTGGTAACAGAACTTCGTGTCATCCAATTCTGTCTGTAATCATACTCGTGATTAAAAAAATCGGACTCCCGCTACGCGGTCGTCTGATTTTGTTAATCACTCGTATGATTACAGACCGAATTGGACTCCACTCAGCCCTGTTACCAGTACTTATACCCTTTTATTTGGAAAATACAGTACAGTGCATGATTACCCAAGTGACAATTCACTGACATACAGACATCTTGAGCAAGCCTCCAGGCTAATATTTATAAGTGTACATATGATGTTTTTTTGGCTTGTATTGCAGGTCAGTTCTTCTCTCTTATTAAAAATTAAATTTACAAAACAATTTACATTACTTTTCATTGAGTCATTTTCTAAAATTTTCTTTAAAAAATTGATCAATCCTTCCATATTGCTGGCATCAGCTGTACATTCACTTCAGTCTTATGTCCCTTGGTAACCAGAGTGTCCTGCTGACTAGGATTTATTCTCTTAGCAACCTTGTTGCAGACAAAGTGGATGCAAAGGTTGCTTCCTGTGGCAAAATAGCCTGCTAGAGAGTCTTCGCTCTGGCTTTCACAGGCCATGGGCATTCGGCCCACACGCAAATAAAATATTGTGCTTTTGAAAAAATGTTTTCTAGTTTAGAGTTGGAGAAACAATACAATATTTTGCAACACTGCTTCGTAGTTTAGTCAGGTTCTTGACACTGTGTAAACTTGGAAGGGAAGGAAGACTGGCGATGAATTTGACATCACATTCAGTCCAGTCCTCTCACATGTGTGAACTGCTCTTCTTTGTCCTTGACCCTTTGCAAACCTTTGGCTCAGCTATCATCACTTTCATGGGCATACCACCAACAACCTGTAATTCATAAAAGTGATTAATTTTTGAGTGATTGTATGGATAGGGACAGAAGCATATATGCTTTTGATAAGAATCATTCCTAACAATCCATAGGACCTTGCTGGAAATGAAATGGCCAGAGATTTAAAACAATCTTCCTTCTGCTTGTTTACTTAAGACAAGCAATTTCACTGACAAGACTCATTCGCATTTGCATTCTTTTTTCAAATGGGTATTTTGTCTATACTGCCTTGGAAGTTCGCAAAATGAAAATGTACGATTTAAAAACGAGGGGTGGTGATGAAATTTGCTTGTGATGTAAAATTTAAAAACGAAAATTGTCTGATGTTAAAGCAAATGTAATAATTTTTTCCATAGCCAATAAAAACGAAAATTTTACTTGGGAGACATGAATGAAAAACTCGCAAACGTTTGCTAATGGATATTTTAGCCAGATTTCAAAATCACTCGCATTTTGCGTTTCAGATAGTTGAGAAGCCCGTTCCAAGCGTTCAGATAGTGGAGAACGGTGCGAAGTAAAGAAAGCGATGAAAAGTAGAGGGGGTGAACGCCTGGAACAGGCTACGAATAAATTAGACGAATAACTCAGTCATCCAGAAATTTAGGCCTGTCTTGAGCTTTAGAATTAGGCAATATTTGCTCCTTCGTACAGTTATTTTATAGAAATAAGTCGTTGGGTGCCCGTGTGGTTCCCGTGTGGTGCACAAGGGTAGCGCAAGTCTAACGTACTTTTTAACGAAAATCCCCCACTGCTAAGATCGCGTTGGCCAATCAGAATGCGGGGATTTCGATCCGCGTTTTTTGTCATGCTGGGCTGAAATCGGTACAAAAACAACGCGCGCGAACAGATTAGTATCTACATTCACTTGTATCCCACATATGGTCACGTATCATGCCTTCTACAATGGACGAAGAACAAAACAGTCTCGCGAAGAGAAGTCGACACCACGTTCCACGAGGCCCTGTTCGCAGGCTACGATACGCGCAGTAAAGTGAAGAGCTTGTTTACAGGCTCTGTAGTTTCTGCGAGCCCACCAAAGTGCGAATCAAACGAGGTAGTGTCGGCCTGTAGTCAACAGTACCGCGGAGTGAGTTTAAGAGATGACGACGACAGGGGCGAAAACGCGCCATAAAAAAGTGAATTTACCGCGCTGTTTCAAAATTCATTGCTCTTATTCCGTAAAAATTAGGCAGTTTCCCGTCGTACTGTGGTCCTGTAGTGACGGCAAAGAAATGTACAAAAAAGCGTGATACACGTGCAAAGTTGTTGTTTTGCCTATTCAACCTATTGCTTTTTTACCGTTCTTGTCGCCGTCGTTGTTGCTTAACCTCCCTAGTGAGTCCGTCGAGTGCAGCGGCGAGTACGTTGTTATGAGTTTCGCTTCCCGAACAACGTCTCGCGCGTGGCCATTCGCGTGTCTCGCGTTTTGCTCGACGGACTACAGAAAAAGAGACTGACGGACTATTTTCGGGAAAAGAAAATTTGAGAACTAGAAGAGACTGCTCTAGGATTTTAGTCTACAAAATGGTGTAATTACCCATTCTCCCTAAAAAACGCTCACGTCCGCCTCAAGAATTAGGGCACGAACAGAGAAAAGTTTTTAGGGGATTAGCATTGTTTTGAACCTTCATGTTAAGTGGTTTTGAACGGAAATTTCTTAACCGTTATTCATATTTCAAAGAAATGATAGTGGTTGTGAAACGTTTCGGCCAGGTTTTTAATATTTAAATATCTCAAATGTTAAAGTTGACATTGATTCACAGAATCTATACATCAGTGTATTAGTCTGATTGCCATTATCAAGAGCATAAGACGTTCGACGCAAGGATCGTCAATTAGGATCGACGGATTTGTATTTGGGTTGACTTTAAATTCTAATAAGCTTGACAAAAAAGTAAAAATCTTAGGTAAGTTATCCTAGGTATTAAACTGTGTCAATTATTTCAGTAATTCGTTGGTGGAAGAAACGAAGACGGGAACGATCAAGATTCTGGCAGTTTTCACCGTAACCTGACGACTGTACAAAACAGCGTCGATGGAGAAAAAACGTCGACTTCTTAACCTTTGGGGTTAACTCTCATCGTTACTCGCGGAGTAGCCTGGGAAACAAAACAACCTCGTCCCCAGGGCGAAACAGACTACATTTTGCAACGACACCGAAATGTCGTCTGAGAGCCGAAATGACGTCTGAGGAACTAACGAAGAAATTTTATATTGATGACGTGCCACTACCCAGACGTGGATCTGGAAAGTGCTTCTGATTGGTTGAAGCAAATTTCGCGCAACCAATCAGAAGTAACACCCAGATCTGACACGTCACCAGTATTGAATTTCTGCGCTCTTTTCTCAGACATCATCTGGCAGGGTAACCATTGGTGGCGTCGCGAAATGTCGGCTGTTTTCTTAGGCTACTTGCAAGGTTTACAAATAAGGCAACTTTTTTGGCATTATCTTTATGTACCTCGCTTAGTTACCTTTCCATGAAGCTCTTTGATGGCTTTTTCAGCACACTTTCCGTTTGGAAACTGAACAAAGGCACAACCCTAAAACAGAAAAACAGATTGACAAGGAATGTTATTTTCCTTTCATTAGTAGGAACTCTGATAGTTGGGGCTACTGAAGACCTTAAATTATAGCAATCAGCTTTGTGTAAACTAAGACTGATTCAAATAATCTGGAAAGTTAGTGAATCAGAACTTTGAGAATTTGTGGAAAATGTTTAGTTCCTACAACTTCACGTGTTGGTCAAAAATGAAAACAATTTCAATCTTTCCTAGAAAAACTTCGAAATTATTCAGAAATCTTCGGAAAATCCGTTGCCTCAGTCGTTGTAAGAATGGGCAAATGACACTGACGAGAGAAACCGTTAAGCACTGATTGGTCAAGCAAAAGGTACTAAAATATATACCTTGGACAAGCCATTAGAGTCGATATTCAATTTAACTTGAGCAGCGCCAAATACTGAGAATTCATTCACCAACTGTGATTCTGTGATGTGCTTGGCGCATACTACGTAGAGTCGGCTGTTGTCCGCTTCGTAATGAAGACCAAACACTCCAATATGACCTCGCACACTGAAGGCGCGAAGATTTGAGCAAACGGTTTTCAACTGCAAAATAGAAAGACTTTGGTGAACCTTTCAGAGTTACTAAACAATGCTCTTGCCTTGTTTTTTCCTTCCCTACGCAAAACAAGTGGGTCAATTGCATTTCCGTGCATGCGCATTGACGACCAATAATACTACCTTACTTATAAACTACATCAATCTTGTAGCAAAAGAGAAAGTTTGGGAGCTGTTATTGAGAAAGTCCCTGCATACAAACACGCACACTTATGACAGATTCAAAAATACAGTCATGGGAAAGCACGAAAATCGTTGCCAAGCATGGGAAAGTACCTTAAAGGTGGCGGGCGAGGGGAATCCTGTAGCGTCAAGCGTACAACAGATAAGTCTGCAAAACCAAACACGTGCAATCGGTGGCTAGGGCAACAAACACGTGCAGTTTATTTTGCAACATTGCTGCGAAACGAGATGGAAAGTGATGTTGTGCGTTTTACCACCCGCGTTGCAATAAATTAGGTTACTGGTTGCGAAAAGTTGTTGGAGAAAGCAGAGAATAGTACTTTTTTTGCAAGAAAATCTGTACATTTTGCGATTTTTACCAGCCCAAGGCAAACTTGTTTCGAAGCAAGTGACAAAACGCCCGTATATGGCGTGACTACCGGATAATTATATATCCAGAAGTCAGTATTCTCGCAACTTGCAACCTCATTTGCTGTGAAAGGTTTGAACGTGGGTGGTAAAACGCACAATTCTAAGGGAACAGACAGTCTTTACCAGTGTCATTTTTTGGTCGTGTGTAAGCCACTGAATAACTCTTCTCGGGGTCTCATCCCTTTTACCGCTAACGTTTTCACTGTGAAAACAAAACAATCAACAATACTTACTACTTCAAGCAACCTTGAGCTGAGGTAAACAACAGTGAACGGAAACAAGAACTACAGTCTCAGACAAAAATATTCGGGACACTTCCACCTAACGCTGTTTTTTTATTTCTGGCCCGTCTCCTCGTCCTCTCAATGTTGTTTACCGCAGTGAACTCACCAAATCTTGCACAGGGCAAGAGGACAGTTAAGTGTCCCAACAATCTTGACTGAGACTGTAGTAAGCGTTATGTTTCAGTTTGTGTTGTACGTTTGGATGGTCATTTCATATACTGTACGCTGTCGAGAAATGGCGAAACTAAACTTGTTATATCCCTTCTATTAAAACAGCGAGAAAGAAAGGAGGGGGCCGGAAAAATTCCCACTCTCTTGGCTCCGAGGCAACGGCGGGGAACTCCCATATGATTAGTCATCTCAGTCGTCTCGCTTAGGTGTCTAAAAAAGCCGCCTTCTTCAAACAACCGCTTTCTTTAAATTAGTACCCCCCACCCCTTGTGACCAAAAACGGTTAAAAAGACAGGACATTTATTTGCCAAAATACCATACTCTTGTCTAGCAGCCGATTTCAAAACGAGTCTCTAAATCCCCCTACGGTGGCCATCTACCTACCTTCCCAACTGAGCTGATAAACCAAACCTTTGTATCCCCCCCCCCCCGACACACCACCACAAGTATGATACTCTTGGCTTCACTTACTTTGCTGCTGACTTTGAATGATCTAGTTGACCGTCAGACAATGAGGTCAGTTGACACGCATCTAACATACATCTTTCCTCGCTAGGACCACCTCTTGGTGGATCCAGCTCTGTCAATTCCTTCGTTCTTTGATATTTTTTTGGTGTTTCTTGATCCCACCTTGATAAACATCTCTTTGATGACTGCCTGTACAAATATTTACCATGCGCATTATTGTTGTTGATTAATACGAATAAGCACGACACAAAATCACTCTTAATTTGTTGGGCTTACTTTGATGAAGGGTCTACAGCATCAGAATAAACTGTATCAGAAATGACATTCCCATTGCTTTTCACAAACACCTAAGGAAAACAGGTGAGAAATTTGTTGCAAGACATCATTCCATGGTACATTTCGTATCATTGCTTGTAACACAAAACAATACAGCGTAACTAAGTACTAGCTTTTGAGTCTGTGGATGAAATCCTAAAGTGTGACCATTTAAACGAAAGCTAATGAGCAGTACTTTTCTGTAGTACCGTTTTATCATGTTGTACTAGGTGCAGGTTCCAACTTTTGAGTCTGTGGATGAAATCCTTAAGGTTCTAATGATTCATGATTATGAATAAATGTTTCAGTTTCCCTTATCTCCTAACCCTAATTTATCATAATCTTGAAGAATTTGTGAAGGAAGACAAAGAAATTTGTGAATCAAAAACAATTTAAATTCTAACTTTTTAACTCTTAGCTTTAGAAGGTTAACCCCCCACCTTGTCACTAAGATGCTTCTGGTCTTTAACGATGACTCTAGAGTCTCCTGCAACATTTGACAACTTCTCTTTTCTGTTCTCCTGTCCCCATCCTAACTGCATTGCATGACCATGGATTTCAAAATCCTGCATACTGCTCATACACAAAATAATAGTTTACATAACTACCAGTATTACAGGTTCAGAAACATGTTGTAATGTCATCACAGGACTGTCACTAAGATTTCAAATTGCCTGGTCAGGACACTGCAAGCAGGCCAGAAATAAAACAGCCAGGGATTTCTTTTCATACCTTTTTTCTTCTGTTTTCCCATGTAAGTGGCTGGGGTAATGTTCATATAGTACCCAATATCCCCCCCAGCCCTTAACATGACATCCCTGCTATTAAATTAGACATTTATGATAAGATCACGATGTTTTAGCCACTTACTACCAGTTTGAATCTTTTTCACAAGGTCAACTTGTCATCCTACAGGGTGTGGTGGTTAGCTGTGATTGTACTAAACAATATTGACTGTAATTTGGGCCCTATATATAGAAGACTAGTTTTACTAGCTATATCCATAGAGGCATACCGGCCAAACAGCCTATGTTTTTTGTCACAATAAAGATCACCCCTCACCATATCAAGGCCAGCTCTGTGGATCTCCTACAAGGAAAAGTTACAAATCCATACCCTTTGGACTGCTGCCTAACGGTATCCATTACTACATGTGCCTGCAACAAAAATGAACCTAAATATCATAAACTGAATCAACATCATGATTTGTTACCTTTGTTTACTTTAATTTTAGTCATGAAATGCTGATGTATCAATCAGAATTTGGGGATAAAAGGTTTATATATGTTTGTTTGTGGTTTATGATTGTACATCCTTGCAGCTTGTATAATTTGTATCATATGGTCACAAGCATCACGCTTGCTTGCAGATTACTTTCACTAGTAATAAGTACCAAACAACCTTAAGTTGACATTTTTGTACGCAGTTTGTTAAAGAGAAATGTGACAAAGCATAAAAGGTTAACATTGTAGTATGTTATTCCATGGGAATATTTCAGCGGAAGAAATACACAGGCAAAAGTGTAAAAGCAATTCATTTTCACTAAAATTTAGTTCCAATAATTGTTTAATTTTTGACCACTTGACAATATCATGTTGCCATTACCTTAAGATGATTTTTTTCTTCTCCTTTTAAAACAAAGGCTTCAAATGCTGTGCGCAAAATTTCAGATGTCACACCTTGACTCAAGCCTCCCACAAAAACATTACGATTGGTTGGTGATGCAACAAGCATTTTCCAAAGCCCAACATCTTTTTCACTTGACAGGTAAGTACAGTCTTGGATTCTTCCATTAGAGTCTGGTTTATGTTCCATAACATCAATGGTTTCCTTTTTATATGAAACAAAACAAGCAAGACAAGAAAAGAACCACACAAAAACAAATTGCAGTCATTTATTGCTATCCAAAACAACACAGAAATGCAAAAACACTCCCAGATCTTTAAAAGTGACCGGGCAATCAGTTACTGAAAAACAAGGGTTATGATGCAATGTCCTGTACAAAAATTAGTGCAGTCCAAATGTTTTGGAGTAGTAGGCAGGATAAAATGAAGTCAGAGTAGAGTGTTGAACAAGCAGCAAATAATTATTCCACTGGAAGAAGCGAAATGGAGGGCTGCCAGCTTATTTTGACAGGGCTAAAACATAGATGCAACAAAATAGTAGTACGCATGACATATTGTCCCTTCTTTGTGTGTTGCGTGCAGTCATCTGTGTGAAGCACTGGTCTTGGGTTCAACATCTGTATGTCTACAGTGTATCTAGAGAAACTTGACTGATAAACACTATTGGGAAAAACATGGAGGACCGAAACTGACCTCCCCTTACTGCCCTCACCCCTCCCCTCCCACCCAAAAAGCATTATTGGAGGGGAGGGGTATCTAATTTTTCATTATAAATACTTAATATTCACTTTAGGCAAGTTATTTTGAATAATATTTCTTTTGAATGGTAAGATCATGGTACTTAACATCATTTTCATCCACTGATAAAGAGACACATGGTAATGGAGGTGGTTGGAATGTTTCTTGGGAAGGCAACTGGTTGATATATTTCAACATCTGCTCCACAGAACTCTTCTGCTCCTCTTCTGAAGGAACTATAAGGGTACAACAAGTTCAACAAATCATCAACCATAACAGCACTTTTACTGTAAGGTCTTCTCAGTTCTAAGTTGCAAATAAAAGATTTAATCCTTCTCAGTCAAAGAAATGGTACCTAAACTGCTGCTTATAAGCACCCCACCCCCCTTGCTTATTCATCCTCCCACTTATAGGCCCATATACAGTCAGCTCTGGCCTTGCGGACACCCCGCTATAACAGACACCCCGATAATACAGACAGCAGCTAAATCCCAGGTAAAATAAATCACAGAAATTTGACTGAAATAAACTCCCCCTAAAACGGAGTTGACAGTACCTGTAACAAAAAATACAACTAATATATATGCACCCCCCAGCTATAAGTGCCCCCCTCTAGCTTGTTTTGAAATGAATACAAGATATTTTGACATTTCAAAGCTTAACTGAAAACCTATACATGCAAAACTTATTTTGATCAGCACTGCTATAGCACTTTTTTCTATTCCAGTAAAGCCCAATCCAATATAAGCCCCTCCATTTATAAGCCCTCCTAAAACCCCTTACCAAGTCGTCAAAGCCCAGGGCGTATAAGCGGCAGTTTACAGTACTGGGAAGAGTTTTATGAATTTTTTGTAACAAAGTTGAATTTTTTTTTCTTATGTTATTTCTAAACATATGCTGACTACAGGGCTGTCACTAAGATTTCAAGTTGCCAGGTAAATACAACAAGTCGGTGGGAAATCAAACAGCTAGGGATTTCTTTTGGTTCTGTTTTTCTTCTTTTTTCCCAGCCTCCTCCTCAGGCGCTTCGTTTTTCGCAAAGTAGAGGAGCGACTGGTGATGAACCGCAAGGGACCATGGGAAGGGTACAGATGGCAGGTAAAGCGATGACTCACCCGTTGTCTCCTTCCCACCTTCCTTTGCGCGCACATTTTCATAGAGAGAGAGACATCTGGGTGCAAGGCAGCTATTTTCCTATGAAAGTAGCCAGGGGCCACGTTCTTAGTAGCTGGGGAAAATCCCCGGCCCCGCCCGCCTTTTAATGACAGCCCTGTGTCTATTTACTTACCCTCAACTCCCCTCATTTTTCTCAAAAGCACCACTGGAGCTTTTATCCTTTCCAGTTTTCTTCTTTTTGACTTTGTTATCACTGGCATCCTCTCAGCTTGCTTTTCATTCTTCTGTTCAGGTTGTCTTTTCTTCCGCCTGCTCCTTCCCTGCTGCAGCTGAGATTCTTGGTATCTTTCTTCTGATATTTTGTGCCCTGCTGGTTTTGAGTCAAATAAGTACACAAAGTAAATATTATTGTAACTTCCATTTAACTGTAGAGGACTGTTAATTTATTACTAATTTAATGTGTGGTGCAAGTTTTGAGAATATAATTGGGTCACTGTTTGATTCTTTGTTTGTTTGCTTGTTTTTTTTTTACAAAGGGAGTTATTTCTAGTGTTTGGTGCACTTAAAACCTCCAACTTCATCAGTCAAAACACTGTGATAAATGACAAAATGACTAGCATTGATCAAAAGATATACGAAACCTTATCTACTGGTATGTTTTTTTTTTATTGCTGCCCTGCGTTAGTGAGCCTGAACTGAGCGAGCAAGGCGGCAGTCTTAATCTGCACAGGGACAAAAATTTTCAATTTCTACCCACGATGCATCTTGATTTTTCCTATCACAATGAAGAAGATTATTTACCACAAGTCGTTGCACACCCATTGCCTTTATATACCGAACTCCGATCAATGGGCTTTTTGGTTGCATGAAGTTTGTTGAGGGTAGTTGAAACCCTCAATTTAATGTGTCTGTGATGAATTTCTCTTTTATGTTACATTGTCATAAAGCCTTTTGACGATCTTTGAACGCAATTAAAACGGCTTGTGATAATTGCTTATATCTTTTCTTCTTACTATTCACTGAGTGTGTAATAAGATATTATAAAAGGAGAAATGAGCAAAACTGTAGTGGAAACGTGAATGGCACGCTTCGGTCTAGTTGGAAATTTCTTTTGGTTGCAAAACATTGCTTCATTACTATTTTATTGCCTTTTGAACAAGGCTTTGCTTTCCTCTACAAAAAACAAAACTTATTACTTCACATTAAAATTACGTGTGTCTGACATGTACAATCAAAATAACTTGAAAGAATCCTTATCTTCAAACATCTTTGAATCTTTGACCAGCAAAACCTATAGTGTGGAACAGAATGCAGTGTGATGGAATGCGTAGAACAAATCATTGTTGTGATTGATTGTGATGTCATAAAATAAAAGAGTGATATTGTGCATCCCGCGAATCTGACATCCACTGTGAAAATCGAGAAGTAATAATTACTTATGTCTTGTTAGATACGCAGTTTTCAATAAACTTGTTTCAGTGACACCAAGGAAACATTCTTTTACCTATTAGGTACAATAGTTTTTAGCCTAGGGGGGAGGGGGAGGGGTAAGCTTCTGTGCGCACTCTTCAAACACCTCACAAGAAGGGCAAGTATTTCTCCGATCGGTTTACTGGTTCGGTTCCTGCCTCACAAGATCAAGGAAAACGGAGAGCAACATTTCATATTAAATAGCTTAATTTTTACCAACAGAATTGTCATCAGCTCCAGCAAGACGCAGGACCGCTATGGCATCTTCAAACAATTTGTGCAGGACAGGATCATTTTGAATGCATCCAGATTGATTAAATTCATCGCTTAAAAGTTCTTTCTGCATTCTAAAAAAGCGGAAATTGGATGTCTGAAGTGATTCAACATCTTCTCGTGAAATCACAGCCACTGAAGAACGTGACACAAGTTCAAAACAATCGACACTTTTAGTCCTCCATGTTCCTGCTTCCAAGTAGCTTTTGTACAGCGGTCAACCAACGATAAGTAACTGCTTCAATTAACATCCATCAAAATCACACGTGATGCAAAAAAGTCCATCATGGCGGCGATACCTCGTTCTCTGCAACTTTAAAAACCATTAATACTGCCTTAGCAATTATGGCGTTAACGGCCAGATTCCTGAGACCACTGCAACTCTTTTTCAATCCTAGTTTTGCAAGAGCAACTTCACCACAGTGCCAGGTCAGAGTTATTCATTAATTTGTGAAATAATGCACGCAAATGGTTCTTTTTTGCTAGCTTGTCAGTAAGCAAATTCCTTTAATGTTATTTTATTAAACATGACCTCATTATTGTGATATAGGTGGCAATATTTCGATGGTATAACAAATATACAACCAAACCTCTTGCTCCTCCTCCAAAACCAAAACCGCTGGATGTGGAATCATTACCTTGTTCTGGTGAGTAAAGAACATGACCTTGGTACATCTTAACTTTTAATATAACCTGTATGACAGGGGCTCCAGAGCCCCGTGGTACCCAACCAATATTTGGGTTTAGGTGAGCCATTCAAAGACCCTGACCCTGTTTAGAATACTAACAAATTTCATCAAGCAAATAAAATTGATTGTGAAAGCTTGCATCAAATCATATACCCTGCTTAGGACAGACATTCACGAAATAGCATACCCTGTGTAGGACAGATAAGACAAAAACCATATCCTGTCCAGTGGCACATTTCAATGTAGGCCATATAAGGGAGTAACCCTATGCATTTATGCTTGCCAACTCTCATGCCTCATGCGTGAGTCTCGTGTCTGTGAACCTAAGGCATCAATCTCATGCATCAAGGACAACTTCTCATGCCTGACTTGCAAATCCACACGAATTGTTCTTTAGCACATGATTAATAACAAACGTGCAGTTCAATTTCCCTGAAAATATTTGTGGCCAACTGTATCACAACACACTAAAATTTTTCCCTTTGAAATAGCTTCAGAAGAGCTCAAAGGTGGTCGGAACATCTTCAGATAGTTTCAGCAACGTTCAGAAGTCTTCAGAAAATTGTCAGAGATCTTCAGAAGTTGCTGGGATGTTTTCAGAAATTCTGGTCATAATAAGATGAAAATCTCATGCATTTGACTTGGAAAATGTTGACAGGGATAGAACTCCCCCTGGTAACAGAGGGAAGAAGGGAAGGAGAACTTGAGTAACAGGGGCCTGTTTCTCAAAAGTCCTGGTAACTTTTCAGGCCCAGAAAGCTAAATTGTGTTTGCCGCGTTTACATTCAAGATCAAAGTTTCAATAATTTCAAAAATGATAAAATGAAACTATCAGTTAACATACATGTAGCAAAATTGACTGGTTATTATGGGCTAGGAACAGTGCTACTATTCAACACGTTTGGATTTTACAATTTGCCTTTGGGCCCGAAAAGTTTCCGGGCCTTTCAAGAAATGGGCCACAGGAGAAAGGGACGAGGGGAATTCTTGGGTGCTTTTCTTGCCTCTCCCTCCCTTTTATGCCTGCCTCCTTATAACTCTTCCAAAGTTTTTTGAACTTTTAACATGTGCTTGCTGGCGAAAATCCATTGGCGCTGCCAGAAAGGGTACCTTAAATTTAGCATATTACATTGTAGCTAAAAAAAATGTTAATGTCACAAAATTTTTATACAAATGTCTGTAAAATTTGGAAACTATGCGTGGCTATATCTTCACCTGTTTCTGACTTATCACTCTGAAACTTGGCAAGTTCGTTAATTCAAGGCCATCTTTCCAGCAGTGTCAGTGAATTTTCATCAACAAGTCTAAGATGGAAAGTTGCAAAAAATTTGTGGAAGGGCTCACTTCTAATTTCATTTATGGGTTAAATTTTGCCAGAGACATCTCCCAAATGAAACAAACCAGAAGGTTGTTCTTTCACATTTTACTATATTTTACAGATGTGTTCAGTCCAAGTGTCTGCAAATTTATTGCCAAACGAGATTATGAAAATCACAACTCAGGAATTCTTGCCTGGGTGACATCATTCACTGGGGAAGACACTTTGGGACTTATTGAGCTCAATGAGTTTGTATTTGGAGCAAACCCAAGGGTCGATATCTTACACAGAGTAGTAGTTTGGCAAAGGGCAAAAAGGAGAGCCGTAAGTAAACTGGAATATTGGTTTACATGTAATATAGTGGTATGTCATCTTATGATTACCCTGTATACAGCTATAGTTGAACCTACTGTGAGTGAAAAAGTACAAATACATGTGTTATAATCCAGAAAATTTCTGGAGTTCAAGGTTTTCTGCCTTTCACAGTTATATGACCAGGGGTGAGTTGTTGGAAGAGCCATTAGCGATAGTCCAAGGTTGTTACCAAGACAACTCATTTATCTTGTTTACAGTTAGTCCAGGATTAAAGCTAACCAAGCTTTGAGCAACTCAGCCCAGACTTCTGTGGTCCACATGTGGTCATTTTAATCTATTTTACACTGTATATAAAACACAGGACACTGTGTTTGATTGGATATCCAGACATCGAAAAATTTAAGGTTATGGATAGCATAAATTGATGTTTAAGTAAATGAGACGAAATGATAGTGAATAATCACGAGAAAGATTCAGAAAATAATGTGAATTTACTTTTCAAACCAAGTTTTCCCCACTATTGCCGTCATGGTAACTCTCTACTTGAGGCATATGTTTGACATCTGGTGGGAAAAATACTTTTGGTTACCTTACTAACCAATTCCATATAAAGTCGTTACTTTAAGTCCCTAATGCCCGATGAGTGCACCCATATTGCGCAACAGTCATATCTCTGTTTTTCTGTCACACAATTTTCAATATTCCGAAGAAGCTTTTGTACTAATCAACTGTATATACTAGTCCAAAATACAAAAAAGAACAATGAACAGTAACTAGTAAGTTGTTCTGGTACAATGTAACCTTCTCTCTTGGCAAAGTCCACTGTGACTCCATCATAATATCACTTCTAAACTCCACAATGGTTCCGTTCATATTATCATATGCTCATCATGCACATGTGCTCCTCTTTGTGCCATACACTGTCCTTTCCCAGCCAATTATTATTTCAGGGCTTTAGTGTATTCACATTATTTCTTGTGTGTTTTTAGTTTGGTATACGATATAGAACTGCATTGCAAAACCATCCACTGATCAGAAGAATTTATTAAGTTGGTGGAAAAACAATTTGTAACCAAGTTGTTTAGACCATTATTTTTATAAAGTGTCTGCAGGTTGGAGAGAATGTTTAGTCATTAGTGCTATAGCTTCTGGGAAGATCATTAATTCATGAAGAAATTGAGTTATTATTATTTTGCAAAATTTTATGGTTATGAATATCCCACATCCAATCGTTTATTATAACACTGATTTCCATTGGTCTCTCTTCATGGATATTATTATTCACGAGTTTGAAGACTGACAGTTGGTAAGACTTATGTGAAATTTATAACTGTACTAGCATTCACTGTTATTTAATTTTTAAAGGGTACAGCATGTGTTAAGACCCGTGCAGAAAAGAGAGGTGGTGGAAGGAAACCATGGCGACAAAAGGGTACAGGAAGAGCTCGACAGGGAAGCATAAGAGCTCCACATTTTATTGGAGGTAAACTACATGTACCAATACCCAAAGTAACTCAGTAACCCAGTAACTGATGTAAAGCTAGACTGAGTTAGAAAGTTACATGTAGTGACTGACTGACTGCCTCAGTAGCTGTGTGCCTGAGTGACAGTGTTGGACTGAATCAGTAACTTAGGTGAATTGACTGACCAACTGCTTTAGTAGCTGTGTGACTGACTGAAATAATGTTGGACTGATTCAGTAACTTACATGTACATGTATTGACTGACTGACTTGCTTTAGTTAGTAGCTGTGTGCCTGACTGACATAATGCTAGAATGACTCAGTAACTTAGATGTATTGACTGACAGATTACCTCAGTAGCTGTGTGTCTGACTGACATAATGTGGGACTGACTCAGTAACTTACATGTATTGACCAGCCAGCTGCCTCAGTAGCTGTATGGACCTACTGACATAATGTTGGACTGAATCAGTAACTTACATATAGTGATGGACCGACTGCCTCAGTAGCTGTATGTCTGACTGACATAATGTTTTACTGACTCAATAACTTACATGTAGTGACTGACTGACTGACTGCCTCAGTAGCTGTGTATCTGACTGACATAATGTTGGACTGATGCAGTAACTTACATGACTTGTAGTGACTGAATGACTGCCTCATTAGCTGTGTGTCTGACTGATGTACATGTATGTTGGACAAGCTCAGCAAGTTACATTTAGTGACTGAGTGATTACCAATTGAGCAAAAATGGAAAGCATTCGACAATTTGACCATAGCAGAACATAATAGTCACAAAGAAATTGTTGCGTAGTTCTTTTAGCCTGACCTAGCTTTTGTCAGCATTTAGCCATGGGTAAGAAGTAAATTATGGGAAATTGACCAATCAGAAACGAGGTTTTCGTTGGGGCAAACAAAACTGTCCATTGTATTGTGGGTGTCGGTACAGCAGGGTTCCACTGTATTATTAATACTCCTTTGCTGGACGGAAATCTTTAACTGTTTCTAAGGTGCACTTCATTGACACCCTCTTAGTTCTGTTACATTTAAGTTTGTTATTTCCTGAACATTTTCTTTTTCATCACTCTAGGTGGCCATGCCCATGGCCCCAAGCCAAAGAGTTATTACTACTCACTTCCAAAGAAAGTCAGAAGAATGGGGCTTAGAACAGCACTGTCAGTCAGATATGCTCAGGTAGTAAGATTGCATAGTATAACCCTTTTTAAGGCCCAATAGAGTTCAGGATGAAATTTCTCCTAGTATTATCAAGGCTTTATAAAACATGGTTGCCATCACAAAAGATGAATCTAACTGATACTTTAAATTCTCCCCACTACATCTATTTAAAGCATATGGACAAAAAATGAGTATTTGAGTTTTGATATTAGGGTTTTTAAAGGGTCAAGTGCCAAGAGGGACAGGTATTAATTTCTCCTCACAACCACAATGTTAGCCTGCGTGGCAAGCATTTCCATGTGGTTTCAGAGCATTAAGAACTAGGAACAAGAGTCAATACCATTCCTTGGTCTTTCTTTGTTCCAAAACCAAACAGAAATGCTTGCAATGCAGGCTACCAGGGTATGAGAATTAATGAAATGATTACCAAAGGGAAGCTGCTTGGATCTTTTCAATTATTATCCCAACTTATACAATAATTTTATGAGAAAAAAAAAAGAATGATTGTGGACACTGGGGCAACAGGTAGTGTTCGTTGTAGAGATTATCCAGAAATAACGGGTCATGTGTCACAAATTTTGTGATGTGGCAACGTGTTTGTCTTCTTAAGATCTTAACAAAGTGGGAGAAAAACAAGTAATTATTAGTTTTCTTGGTGGGTTTGCTTTTGAATGGAATAATGGTTCTTATTATGGCAAGTGTTTGCACAAATATACACCTATTAATTTGCTGGAGTAATGCCATTTTCATTATAAATGCAAATTAAGTGGCTGACATTGTTTACATTTACTATTTTATATCATAATGATGAAGACTTTTTTTGTCAACAGGGTGATTTGCACATTGTTGATTCCTTTAAAGATATTGAAAGTGAACGGGTTAGTTGAAAGTGTCATCTGAAACCTGCACTTGTAACTACTATCAGACTCCCTAATAAATATGAACAAGATTTTATGATTAATCGAATTTCCCATGTCATCTGAGCTGCATATAGTTTCGTGTTCAAGAGGTTTTAGGTACAGTATGTTGCACATTTTTAAAAGGTAAACACTGAACCATCCAACTTGCATGGCAAATAGACCTTTCTCACCATCTTCTCCAGTGAGCATGCACAATAAAACAAGTCAAGGATGGGTGGACAATTTCGTACAAATCTCTGATCAGTATTTTGTAGGCCCAAACCTCAAGTTGTTGCCTTTATGAAAAAATGTAATTTGTTTTTGGGAATGCAAGAATGGTATATAATACCTAGAGAGGTAGATTTTATGGTTTCAGAAAATATCCATACCCAGCCCACCACGGAGGTTCAAAGCCATGTGGCTGTACCCTCCAACTGAGAAAACCTCTCCCCCCAGGCCTCTTAAAAAGGGAGAATGGCAAGAGGGCTCCCTCCCATCCTTTTCTTTTTCTTGGGTTGGGGGTGGTGGGATGTGGCTACACATAGGCTAAGAGGGTCATCGAAAAGAAAATCTAAGAGGGAGGGGTTAACATTTTTAAAGGATAAAATCTTTCTAGGAAAGTGAGAGAGCTTAACTTAACTTAAAAGTTCCAGACAGAACGTTGGGTAGGGGGGTGGGGGCTGATACCAGAAATCACTCTGTGGGTGGAGTACAGTGAAACCTCGATAAAATGAACCTCTACTCAATGAAGTCCTTGGTATACACTGTACCAAACAAGTTTCCTCACCCCACTCATGGTAAAATATATCAAAAAGAACTTTGAAATAACAAAACCTTGTTATAGGGATTAAACGTATTTTGCCAGTCACTAGCTTGTCCATTCATTATCTCGAGGTTCCACTGTATGTATTTTTATGAAAAGCACAAATTTTGGCAATTTTAATTTTGAAACAATTGTCCTTTTGTAGGATTTGATTCCACTTTTGGAAAAAAGAGGCTGGACGAATGCTGTGCTTGTGGATTCGTAAGTTGTTTCCTATGAAGTTGTCACAGGAATAATTATATTTTTTTTCTGCCACCTTGTTTCATGATGTCAAAAAGGACATTTTTTATAAAACTCTTTGACCATCTTAGTAAAAAGTTTCACATGTAAAACAGTACTACTTGTTTCATTTTGTTTTGCTTTTTTTAAAGAAAAAATGGGGCAATTCTATGCACAGTGTATTCCTACGAGACAGTCCAAGGGTGGCATTGATTTTTCGCTATCTAGGAAGTGAATGTTAATGGTACCTGTTTCAATGTATTAAAATTTATATTTGGCTCTTAGCGTTCGCCGATAGAAACAAAAAAAATGTATTATTCAACTCTGAACCTCACATCGAGTTATTTTGTTTTATTCTTCCCACCCTTGGAGCCAGGTATGAATTTTAATAATCACAATTATTTTGTCTATTTATATGCCATATTTGTCTCAAACCACAGGCAGTCCAACTCAAAACTACATCATGCTGCAGCAGAGATGAATAAAGTGGATGTGCTTTATAGTATAGGTATGAAAACATCAAGCAACTTTGTAATAACAGCTATTATCAATATTATTTGAAGAGGCCTAGTTAATATGAAGAATTAGGTAGATCAGAGGTGTTGGCCTCAACAGATAACACTCCAAATAATTTACAACTTACGTCTGTCGAAAATTAACAGCAGGCACCTTCCAAGTTTGATGGTCAATCCTAGATGGTTATGAAGAATTAGCCGGTTCCTCGAACGATGGTTAAGTTTAGCCCAGGATTAAGCCAAATTTTAAGAATGGTGTTCTTGTCTAAGAACATGTAACTAAAGCTTACAAAATGCTGTTTAGCCTTTACTCTGAGATACAGTAATAATAAGACAAAATGTTACTCTAAGCAATGCATGGAAAGTAAATTTATACATTAATATAGTGCAACAAAATTTTAGTCCTGGATTAGCAGTATAATCGGCCTTTCAGGAACAGAGGTTTTAAGCCCATGAGAAAGGGACAAATGTGTAATGAATGAATGATGATAATGATATTGTATGGTCAACTCAACCATCTGGGATACATCCCGACTTCTCACTCGCAATTTGTGGGAAACAATACATCATCAGTACCAGAAGCCAAAACTTCCTGTCCACTTTCGTTATCTCCATTACCGTTACTAACTAAAACTGAGTAATGTGAAGGACATTTGGGCCCAATTGCTATTGAGGTGTGCCTTTCATACACTCTTAGATTCACTATTGTACCCGCTAGAAGTATATAACAGGTAGTATTTAAAGTCTTTAGATAGTGGGGAAAAAATCTATATCATTTGCTTAACAAAAGAAATTTCTTTCAACTACAACTATATTTGTTTGGTAACTTTTTGTATATATGAATTTTCTTCACAGTTCTAAATGTGTACTCAATCTTACTTCGGAAAAAGGTGATTTTGACTCTGGATGCTGTCAGAACTCTCGAAGAAAGACTTTGTGAGGATGATAGAATACTAATAAACAAATTTGATTAAGGTTTGGGCTCTGTAAATAATCTCAGTATTAAATAATAAAGTACAGTAAATGTTTTTTCAACAAGTTGTGTTTGTAAAATAATAGGCTGGTCTTAAGAATTTTTTTTTGAATTTTGATCAATTATGTATATTTTATTTATCAACTAACCTTTTGTACATGCTGCTTTTATCTTTTTAAAAGAAAAAATGATAACCATCAATGAGACAAAACCTCTTATTACTAAGCCAAGGACATCTCCTTCCACACAACAGTGCCTTGCTTCAATAAAACATTGACTTCTTGAGATGATGCTATTAAATCTTAAGTGCTGATTGGAACTTTTTTATCTAAGGTCTGGAAAGTTTCAGACTTCTAGATAGTAAGGCAGTGAAAATTACAGTCAAGCCAGGTCATGTTTACCCGCAAAGATTCCATTAACAAATTCGTTAGTCATTGCCGCAACCAGTATCAAATTCAAATCTGCATTCATGCATGTCTAATGAGCAGTGAATTTTTGTACGATAACTTCTCTGTATTCAGTCAGATTGAAAAATCTTTGAATGGATACAATTGCTTCGAAGACATTTGCGTCAAATTCAAGAAAACTTAGCTGGTAGAAAAGAAAAGTCATAACTACCTCGCATGTGAATTCACTGCTCATTAATCTGAACTTTGTTTACCTATAAAGCGGTCTGAAAACCAGTTACCGCCGGTCATAACCTGAAAAACCCGATTTCCCTTTCAATGATACCGTAAAATTACGAAAATAAGCTCCGGGGCTTATATTTTTCAAAGGCCCTTTTTGAGGGGCTTATCTACGGAGGGAAATTTGCGTGTAAAAATCGATTGGGCCAGCCTTATAGTTGGAAGTAAATTTACCGTTTTTGCTTTGTTTTACTTTGTATTTGAGGGGAGTTTTCCAAGTACAAGCCCCCGCGGGGCTTATATTTGGAGGGGCGATTTAACGGAGGGCTTTTTTGCGTTACCGGTTTGGGGGGCTTATATTTGGAGGGGCTTATACATTGGGGGAGGCGGGGGGCTTATTTTCGGAACTTTACGGTATATATCCTAGTGTAAACCATAAACCGGTCACCGCTTCGGTAACTTGTGATAGAGCTCCAAAAACTGGGCTGGCGTCTCAGGCTATTAATGGAGGAAATCACTGTGACTTGAAGGTAAAATTATTTACATCTTGGAAAGGTTTAAACTTATAGTTTGTTATAATTATGGCAGTTTTTTTCGTTGTATGGGATGATCGTACGACACAATAGTCACTTTCATGTCGGGGAGGTCGTTCCTTTGAATCGCACTCGGCTAAAGCAGAGCACATTATAAAAAGAAGTACAAAATTCGGACTCAACGAGTCGACAAGCGGACTAAATTTCTTTCATACATTACTTTTCGTAGTCCACCGGTGACTTTTCGAAAATTGAAGCGATGGTAGCCCTTCGGTAATTTTTCGGTTTCTTATTTATCTCATAGTGACACTCTCTGTCGCCAGTTGATTAAGTGTACCAGATTGCCACTGGGTCTTTGTAATCCAACGAGAAGTTTCGAAGAAATGTTTGTTCGAAAACGTCAAACCGACTTTGGTATTCTGCGTTGTCGAAGACTGAACTGCCGCAATTTTAGTGGCTATGAAGTCGCGAACGCGGACAAACATACGGGTGAGCTAGAATATTTCCGGATTATCATGCATAATCAAATAAACATTGCAATATTTTCGAGATGATTTCCCCGTAAAATCGGTCTCATAGAATTAAAGTGACGTGAAATTAATCAGTATCAACATTAATAGCGGGTTTGAGGCTAGTATGGGCATTCAATCGTATGTTTCCATGAAATTCCGGATCACCCGACAGGCAAAGGCAAATACTAACTTTAAATCGAGGTCATCTCATCTCCGAATGACTTTACTCCAGTTTCACACCTGGAAGTGTAACGGTCTTAATAGACCACTACGAGGAAAGCACGCTTTTTCGACGTTATCAAACGAATTCTCACTGCTGGACCCATCGTGTCAAATGTAGCAAAAATGCAATGTTTCTTGAAAAATCACTTGCAAACTAACGGAAACAAGGACCCAGACGTCCGGCAAAACATATGCCAAAGTGCAACCGCTCTTTAGTCTTTGTAAAAATTGGGAAGTTTGGGTTCCCTGAGTTTGTCAAGGGTGTTTAACTTAATTTCGCCTTTTTTTCATAAGTCGGCGTGATCATCGATCCATGGAGTTGTTTATTGTTAACTTGAATAATACGTAACATAATTGATTTTTCGTTACATTGTCAAAGTGGTCCATTGAAAACGATTTGTAGTTGTGGGCTTTGAGAGGAAACGCCCCCCCTTATTGATCGAAAAACTGTTTTTTCTAATCCTTCAAGCGCACGTCACAAAAATCTGTCTCCTAGAATTCAAGTCAGCGATAGCTGTTACGAGAGACGGTTTGGAGGAAGTAAAAAAAAACGTTGGCCAATATGTTGTAGAGCTGGAAATTATTTTGTGGGCGGTTATGTTTTGTTTTCCTTCCTTTTTTTTACTTTTCCTTGTAGTCTACTGAACAAATATTATCATTTTGTGCATGGTTTTGTCTTAGGTCTTATTTCAGAAGAATAAATAAATAAAGTATTGTGTCATTGATATTAGTAGGGTTGAGGTGTTTCCTGGTAGTCTACGTCTAATCAGGTTGATAACGTTTTTACACACATAGGAAATAAGAGGTCACAGAGCAACCATGCAATACTTGGCTTACATATTGCATTTGCGAATCGGATTGCAAAAATGTTTTGTTTGTCGCCGTGATGCAAGTGTGTTTAGGTTATCTAATGTACAAAACTTTCAACGCATTCCTCGCACTCGTAACGTACCATTTATATTTCTAGTCATCATCTGAGTATTCTTGAATGACTAGATGTTTTTCTTGTTTCATACGATGAATGCGATGATGATTATCTAAACTGGTTATCTAAATCCGCCGGTTACACAAAAACGCTGTGAAACGGACAACTGGTGGGGACACTTTTGACGCCTTTGCTTATCCGTGGAACATATTTCGGATTCCCGCAACACCTTTTCCAGGATCCTCTCTCTCCCAATAGAGAGCACTAGGCTTCGTTCCCAGGGTCTTCTCTCTCCCTGCACACAGCAGTTAATCCTTTTTCTCCTTGTATACAGTAATTAACCTTGTTCCTAGTGTTCTCTCTCTCAGTAGAGAGAAGTAAGCCTCGTTTCTAAGGTCTTCTCCGTCCTGTGCACAGCAATTAATGTCGTTCTCAGGGCCCTCTCTCTTTCTGCATAAAGCAGCTAATCTCGTTCTCAGGTTCCTCTCCCTGTGAAGAGTTAATGTACCTAGGCCTCTATCTCGACGACAAGAGAGGGGTGGAGAGTGAGCCTAGACATCACTGTTTTCATTTCAATTTGCTTATAATTTGTGGAGAATAAAACGGTCCACAGGTGTGTGGTAGGGGGCTGGAGTAAAGAGAGAAATAATAAGAAGAATGTCATTCTATGTTTAACGAAAACAACTGAAGGCAATAAAAATAGAAATGCTCCCATTTGTGGAGTCGTAAAGAAAAAGTGAAGGTAAAAGTGTTTGCACAAAAATAATCCATTCGTGGAGCATTAGTTAGGATTTTCTCTTCAGACATCCCGCATCCCCTCAATTGTGTAATTTTGTGTCCCTACATTGACGAATGAATATGTTTTAGTTCAATTTTGTCCTTGGTTTAAATTTTATTTCCCTTTGTTTTTGGGTATGGTTATGTATGATAATAAGTTTGAAACAATGAAAAATAAAATTTAAACCAAGGATAAAATTGAACCACAACAAATATACCATAATACAATTTTTCTGAAATCTGGTATCCCTATATCATTTTCTTTCAGCGTCCCGTATCGCTTTAACGTAAAAAGGCCTCAATCGTTCTAGAAGCCTGTACTGCTTAAACTGGTTTCCAAACAGTTTAAATGAAGCCTTAAGTGATTACAATTTTTCACATTGTACTTAATTTCATAAGCATATGGTAGTCCGGGGGGAGGGGGGGGAGGGTTCGGTTAATGTTTGCGCGGTATGTGCCGCTGGCCTCTCAGAGTCCCTACCCCATTATAGATTTTTTTTTTTTTGGCCAATTATAGACCCCATCCTAGTCACTTTTTGGAAAATGCAATTCTCGCGATCCCAAGTTAGTCACTTTCTATTTATGCATCTACCTTATCAACGTGGTTTCAAGCGGCGGAATGTAATGCGGTCAATGCGGGCTTATTGTTAAATTTAATAAACAACAACTTTCTAATTTTTTTTAACCGAGAATCTTCCCATTTTGAATCTCTACTTACCCCCAAAATCCTCAAATTTGCGACCCCATTCTAGTAACTCTATTGAAAGTGCAACCCCATTAAATAGTCATTCTAGTCGTTCCAGTCGGCGCCGCTAAGAGATTGTAGAAATCTGAAATACGGGAAGTTACTATGTACAAAGTGAGTCCGCACCCGGGGCACATGGTGTTAGCGCATGTATTTGTTGGAAACGATTTATTTCTTGTTGTAGAACTGAGATTGTGTCATCGAGAAGAAAGTTTCCCTGAATGAGGCCTTTGATTTTGCTACCTGCATGGTAAGAATGCGATTCAAAATAGACCCTGTCTGAGTTAGGTAGTGGTTAACGCGAAAGTCGTTTTACCGCCACTTAAAATGGATTTAAAGGACGTTCTTGCTCGCGTTTCAAGCAATGCAGAAATCCTTTGCTTATCCCATAAATTGATTTTTCGGGTTGTTGTGTGAGTTTTTGGATGATTTTTGGGGGTTTTGGGGGGAAATAGTTTTTCTCAAAAGGGTAGTAACATCTCAAGAAGTAAGAAGGAATGAAGCTTTCATGTGTTTAACAATTAGAATTTGAAGTTAAAATTTATTATATGGACACCCAAACAGTCCCCTACCAACCTGGAGTGCCCTTGGGTAGGGGTCAACTGTCTGTTTTTGTTTCAAAAACGATATTCTTTCCTTTATCCTTTACTTAACCCGCTTAAAACTTCATTAAAATTAAAATTCATTTTTACCCCCACCTTAACCAGGAAATTGTTTAGTGTTGAAGGTGATTCCCCAGGAAAACAACCTGTAATTGATTTCCCATTCAACTTAGTACTTTGCTCTGACAAATCAGGAATGCGATGAAGCGGGGATGGGGGCCACCGTATTCATTGCCTTGGCATGATGCCAACAAATCCAACTGGTGAGGCCTCTTTTGATAATAACCAAGTACGGTGAGCTATGATGGAAAGGTATGCCCGCTTTTTAAACGTAGGCCACGATATCTTGCAGAGTGTAATAACAGTCTATTCTTTAGTCCCCTGTGTGGTAGCCTGAGTATCAGGCCTTCCTAAGGGGCTAGGGGAGAGGAGATTTTAGATGGGGGAGGGGGGAGGGGGGAAGAGAAAGGAAGGCCTGACACAAAACCATCCAGCAAATCGTGTGACACATCCAAAATCTGGATGTGGCATCGATTGGATAACACACAATAACCCCTGACGTCACCGACCGCAAGAGCGATCGGCAAGGAGAAGCCACTGAAATTTTTCGTAGATGTTTTGATTTCATGTTGCCGGTATGTGATACTTTTATGGACAGAGACGCAGAGAGGAATTCAAAAAGGCTCTAGAGGGCGCTCTCAAGTTCTTTCTCGGAGTAAAAATAAAACCCGAGCAAGGATTGTGTTTTCAAGGCCTCGTAGTTTAAAGGAAAGATGTACTCGCCTCATACCAGCTTCTGCCGAAACTATGTCCGAGTATTGGTTTCACAAGACCGGGACAAAGAAGACGATATCAGTGTTTCAGATATCTAAGTTCTGATTTACAACATCCTGCCGTTAAAAGAGTATCGTTACTGTAAATGAAAATAGAGCGAGGTAGCCATGTCAGGGGCACCCAACGAGGATATAGTTCAAAACCACTTAACATAGCATTGTTGAACGTATTTTAGTATTTAAACGGTAGATATAGGCATATTTTTATCCCCTAAAAACTTTTCATCTGTTCGGATTTCCTAGCTGAAAGTCTAGTGATCCGAAAATTATAGGGATCAAAACTTACCTTTTCGAAAATTTCAGCCAGGAAAAGGCTCCCGAAAATTCTAGGTGGCCTTTTTTAGGGTAAATATCCGTTTAAAATGGGTAATTATACCATTTTGTAGATGTTCGAAAATCCTAGGAGAGGCAGGCAAGCAAGAAATTTTCCAAAAAATGTTCCGAAAATTCTAGTTCTCAAATCGTCTTCCGAACAGATATTTTCCCGAAAATTGCCGTTGGGTGCCCCTGCCATGTATTGAGATAGCCGACAGCACCAATGCTTTTAAAAAGCATGGCTTTGCTTGAGGCGGTTACGATAGCGTACGTGACTGGAATTCGTTTGCTTCCTCTTCCAAAATTTTCCCACTTTTGTAATGTTTTAAGCTCAAGCGGGCGCCATCATGTTTCGCCAACGGGATTGACCTTTGCTATAGGCTCTCAATTCTTGTTTAATTTGTAACAGCTTTCACGAGCTCTCTGTGAAAAGGTGGAATTTGCTGCTGCTTGATAATTTCTAGGCATAGGTGTTTCACCATCGCACCTTCCTATTTATTTCTTGCAGCTCCTTTCAACCACCCGAGAATGCGAAGGATAACATCAGCTTTTTAGCTGCCAGGCAAGCGCCTGATGTTACTCTGTAAACAAAAGCAATTTACAGTTTTTCGGGCACACGTTTGTTTACAAACAGAGCGTTGGCGATCGTACACTAGCTCAATTCCTAAAGCATGTTATAATAAATCAAAAACGCAGGTTTTACATTACAAGTATTCGAAAACTCCTCATTGGAGGTTTCAGAAAAAAGTGAAATCGTAGCAACACAAGAACCGGAGCTCGGCCAGCCCGTAAAGCGAGATTTATTTTAGGCGAGCTTTTTGAGACATGAAGCTGACAGCCCAGTGAACGGAAGTGATTTTGATTGGATGGTATCGAATCATGCTGTGTGGGGGTGGAAGGCCCCAGTAGAGGCATCTGTGTCAGGCGTTTCTCTCCTTCCGCTCTCTCCCTTTTTCGCTTCCATCTTTCCCCTTTTCCCCAGAAACGCCTGATACTCAGGCTACCTGTGTGGCAGAAAAATGAATTTGATGAAGAATTAAAGTGTGTGTGTTAGACTCCATGCCGCCTCCTTTGCGCAAATAGCGAGAAAGCTGGCCACAGATTTTTGCTGATTTTTCTCCTTCTTGAAGAAGACGCTACGCTTAACAAAATGATGAAATAAAAAATGGGGGTCACTGTACTCGAAAAGTATTAAATAGCTATTCCTTTGCTGTTTAGGCTCAGTGTCATTAAAATCCGACATTGAAAACAAGTGTATGATCGTGCGAGTGCTCATGACGCAAGAAATTGTGCGCAGTGATACATGCGCAATGAAAAACTAGATGCAAAACTAGGGTGTAATTCTAGTGACTATTTTAGAAAACACGTCCACGAGACTTCCTATGTTTTGCCCAAGGTGTAACAATGCTATGACAGGAAGACGTTTGTTATATTTTACGCTTGTCACTCTCACCAAAGACTTCATCAGTTCATCGTCGTATATCTAGGAAAAAAACTTATGTAATCTTTCTAGAAAATATTACTGGAATTAATTGTGCAAATATATTGCGTCAAACTAATTGATGTGACGTCACTCTATCCTTGCACTCACTTGAACTTACTTCGCCGTAACATAATCATGATCACTCATTTTGAGGGTGGTCTCAAAAAATCATCAAAACAGTTCCATTTGACTAAACTCCTGATGTAATTTCTTGATATTAGGAACATTTTTAAAACAATTTTGGAGCTTGCTACCCTACTGAGGCGCCGCGTTGGATCGAGCGCATTTTCCCAGGCCTATCGGGGGCTCTTCGTCGAAGGTCTGGGTCACGTGTGATATTTCAGAATGACAGTTGTAAAGATTTACCTCTGTGGTGTTTTTTCTGACATATGTCGTACACGTAAAATTACACTTCATATTACGGTGAATTAAACATCTGATTCTCGTTTCACACATTCTAATTCTTATTATCAAACATTCAAGGCAGTAACATAAATCAGTTCAAGGCAGTAACTTTAATCACGTTTGCTTTCAGAATTCATTACTTAGGAAAATACCCTTTACCACCTTTTTTTAGAGACAGACTGTACTTTAGGGACTTGATTACAAGTCTCCAAAGAACGGTTGTTGGTGCAAACTTCAATGGACCAATTAATTCGAAATTTCAAAATTCCCTTCCCAGGCATTTGAACTTTTGGAAATTCAGTCGTTCAAACCTCCGTTCTACAAGCCAAAGGTGGTGTTCAAATGTGCCAATCAAACTTGCAAGACATTCAAAAATCTTCTTTTAATATAACTACCCGCTTGTGAAAGTCTATATGTTTATTGGCATTTACTACATAAGGCCGAGAAAAGTTGAAATCATCAACATTAACACTCCCAGGAGCCCATGATCCAGGAGCATAAAACCTTGATAAACTTGTGTAACGGCGTTTTCACCGACTGAGTTCTTTTTTTAGATCAATCTTCCCTCGAAACCAATCACATGTGCCGCATGGGCATCTGCTACCCTTGGGATTGAGAACAGCCACTCACGTTTTGTAAAACTCATCCAAAAAACAGTCTGTGAAAATGCCATTGCATAGACCCACTATGGGAACTATACGCTCCGGATTATGGGCTCCTGACACTCCTTACTCGTCAAAAGTACATTTACAGTCCTTTCTCTTTGCGCCCCAGGTGCACTGGGTGACTTTAGCGCCGACAAAATCGTATTAAAACCTAACACTTGCAGCTCACACGCCCCACCCCACTCGGGCACGAAAATTGGTTAAATGCTCGGTATATGCCCTGGGGAAAGTTGATTGATCGGCGCACAAGTAATACCTTTCAGAAACAAAGTTCCGCAAGCAAGAAAATTGATAACGGACTGCAGGGTTCGCGAAGTGGTGAGAGCAATCGCCTCCCACCAGTGTGGCCCGGGCTCCATTTCCAGTCTAGCGCCATACGTGGGTTGAGTTGTTGGTTCTCTACTCTGCCCCGAGAGGTTTTTCTCTAGGTAGTCGGGTTTTGCCCTCTCCTCAAAATCCATGCATTTCCAAATTCCAATTCGACCTGCATTCAAAGGACAAAAGAAAATATATATTTTTTGTGTCACCTGCTTGAGATAATTGAGGAATGTTGATTTTTTTCAAGATTTCTCATATTCGATTGCTTGACACCATTGCTTTGGCGTCTGAGATTCATGATGTTTTCCTGTGTTCCATTCCGTAGGTAGCATTTCCCAAATAAAACACTTCCAGTGAGATTTTGGCATAAAAAGTGTCCCAAGAATGTCCTCGCAAAGCCGAATAATTCCGGCCCTGGGTCGTCCCTTTGACCTTGGCATGCTTTACGATCGCCGTTCAGAGAAGCTGATTCTTGGCAAAACATTGTGGTCTCCGGATCAACTGATTCAGGCCGTTAACACGATAACCAAACCATGCACCAACTCAGAAGTCCTTGCCGAAGACACAATTGACGATAAAACAAGTGCTCTCAATATTGAAGCAAGCATTAAAATGAGTTTTCTTGGGGGCTTAGTTAATGTACAAGGAGCAGCGAAATACTTAGATGACAGAAAGACATCGAGTAACCATTGTCGCGTTGTTCTGAAGTATGAGGTAACAACTGAGTTGAAACAGCTGACCATGGAACATTTGGGACGAGGAAAGGTGCAGTATCCAGAGGTGTTTGACCAAGATATTGCCACTGATGTAGTGGTTGGAATCCTGTATGGAGCCAAAGCATTTTTTATCTTTGACCAGGAAGTTTCCAAAGATGAATCCTTGAAAGAGGTGCATGGAAATATGGAAGTACTGGTGAAGTCCTTGCCTGGTATCTCTACAGACGGAAGAGACTCTGTCGACATTACTGAAGACCAGAAGAAGAAAACAGAGAAAATGCATTGCAAGATGTATGGAGATTTCAGAACAGAAGGAAGTCCAACTACTTACGAAGAAGCAGTAAGAGTCTACAAACAACTACCATCATTGATTGGGGACAAGGGTGAGAACGCAGTTGCTGTCCAAGTATATTTACGCCCGCTCAGTGAAATCGATACCAAGGGACAACGAATGGTTAGAGAAATCAATGCAAATTATATAAGCAAGACATGTGACATTCAAGAGCACATACAGTTTATAGGATCTAAGTGCAGCGATTTAATGAGAGAGGATGTTTGTTCGTCGTTCCCTCGAATCAAGAAGCAGTTATCAAGTTTCAAAAGCAATATCTCGCGCAACAAGATCTTTTTCCAGAAGAAGTTGTTGCCTTTGCTTCCCACCATCAGAGGAGGCGAAGCAGAAGAATCAGCACTTGGCGATATCTTTAAAGAAAAAGAGCGTTCCCCCTTCGCACAACCTCGCATCGATGCTTGGATCGTGGAAAAAGAGAGAGAAATGAAGAGATTGCAAGGTATCATCGGTTTCTTGGGAGACACTCCTTTCGTTAGCCCTGAAGATGTGGAAAATAAAGCGTTCGACCCAAACAATGAGCATGTTGTGTGCTGTGCATTTAAGATTGGCAAGGAGGACGATCCTCAGATTTTGAGTATGGATGCGTACCTCACAGGAAAAGTTCTGCCAGAATTGGAGAGAAAGGCATCATCAGGTACTGATGCTAAAAATGCTAATAAAAGAATCCGCCAGACACTGAAACAGTTCTCAGAACTGAAATCTGCAAATGAAGACCACAAGGAAGTGAAGTTTCTCGCCACAGAGGAGTGTCTTTCTGACAATTTCAATGGAAGCCCCGGAGCCTTCATCTATCTCTACGAGGAGGGCGAACTAGAAAATGATGATTTTAAGCTATCACCAAAGCCAGAAAACCTAGAAGCAGAGAGCGCGCGAGACGATTCAATCGAGCTTTGGTGGAATGATCCGCACTGGAGCGAGAACAAAATTGAAAAGTACAAAGTTCAGTGCAAAAAGGATGAAGCTAATTCCGACTGGATCACTCAGTACACACCATGTGGAAAGGAAGCTAAGAAAACTGCTAACATATCTGGTCTTCAACCAGCTACCAGCTATCTGGTGCGAGTATGCGCTGTGGGGCAGATTGTGGTTAGCCAATACAGTGATACTTTATCTGCAACTACGAAACCAACAAGTCCGCCTGGTAAGCCAACCTTTGCAGATGCAACGACTGACACCATAACCATTGCATTCACCAAACCCAAAAGTATTGGACAGGGAGTTAATATTGAAAAGTACAAGATTGCATGGATATTCAATTCCCAACAGATGGAACACTTCCTGCACTATACAGAAGATGCGTCGCTGACTTGCACAATCAAGGGTCTTCAAGCAGGAGTACCCTACAACTTCAGCGTTACCGCGATATGTGGTAGTGAAGGAGACAGCAACCCCAGTGACCCTAGTGATCCACTGCAAACAATAGTACCTCCGAGAAAATTTGATACAAGCAAGATCCTTGGCTGCTGCAGCCTTGTTCAACCACCAGAAGATGGAAAGCCAGCGGTGTACACTCTTCCTTTAAGTCTCGACTACGAAGACAGCCGCAGTCAATTGCGAAAGTTTGTTATCAATCTTGGAGAGACAGGGATGCAGTTACAGGGTAAATTTAATATCGTTCCTGAGAAAGTGATTATGGTTGTTGGGTCCACGGGTTCTGGCAAGACAACCACGGTGAATGCTATGATCAACCACGTCCTTGGAGTACAGTGGAAGGATAACTTTCGTCTCAAGATGATCCACGAGCTGTCTAGCAACCAAGGGGCAGGAACAATCGGAAATCAAGCACACAGTCAAACACAGTTCGTTTCTTGTTACACTCTACCGTACATGGAAGGATTCAAAATACCTTACAACCTCACTATCGTAGACACTCCTGGATTTGGAGATACAAGAGGAATTGAATACGACAAAGTGATCACCGAACAGATCCGTAGATTCTTCCACACAAAGGGCTCGGAAGGTATTGATCATGTTGATGCCATCTGCTTCATGGCTCAGGCTGGTAATCCGAGGCTGACTCCAACGCAGCAGTATGTTTTTGACAGAATCCTGGCCATGTTCGGAAAAGATATCAAGAAGAATGTCTTAGTACTATTTACCTTTGCTGATGGTCAAAAGCCTCAAGCCCTGTCAGCAATGCTAGAAGCCGGAATCCTAGAGCGTGAAAGTAACTTCTTCAAGTTTAACAACAGTGCCCTGTTTGTCGCTAACTCTGGTGAAAATGACGAAGACAACTTCGACAGAATGTTTTGGAGAATGGGAATCAAGAGTTTTGAGAAGTTCTTTCAAGGCTTGGCCGAGATGGAATCAAAAAGTCTTGTCCTTACCAAGCAGGTGTTGGATGAAAGAGCTCAGCTGGAAGTTCGACTCAGTGGTTTGCGTGACAAGATTGCGCTTGGAGTAAACAAACTGAGCGAACTGCAACAGTTAAAGAGAGTGTGCGATCAACATGCAGCCGACATAAATGCCAACAAGAACTTTAAGTTCACTGTTGAAGAAGCAAAACGCGTCCAAGTAAAGCTGCCTATTGGTCAGTATACTACAAACTGCTTGGTTTGCAACTACACTTGCCATTATCCTTGTTCAATTCCAAGAAATGAGGATAAGAGAGGATGCGCTGCAATGTTGGATGAGAGTTGCAAGGAATGTCCAAACAACTGTCACTGGTCAAAACACGTAAATGACGCATATCGCTTTGAAACCCAGTATGAAACCGTGGAAAAGGAATATGACGAAATCAGAGAAAGGTTCAATGTAGCGGTTGAAGGCCAGAGCGAGGCAGAGGCTGTGATCAAGCAAGTAGAGCAGGATTTTCATGAAACCAATCGCATTGTATTGAGATTCGTCGCCGAAATGCAACGTGGTATAAAGAAGTTGTCAGAAATTGCCCTTAAAAAGGATCCACTACAACAAGTGGACTACTTGGATATGCTCATAGAATCTGAGAAATCACAAGCAAAATCTGGTTGGAAAGATCGCGTAAGTGCTTTGCAGAAAACAAGGGATGAAGCAGTCGAAATCAATCGTCTTGGAAAGCCTGGGTACGATCCGTGGGAAAAATATCGAGAGAACGAGGAGACTCGTCAGTTCTTTCAGAAGCAAACTGAAGAGGCTCAACAATCTTTATGGAAAAAAACAAAGAACTGGGTAGCAGGTAAATTTTGCTGAGTGAAATACGGATTTGGACAATTGGAGCAATTAAACTATTTACTTGATTACCGACACTGAGGAGGGCTCGGATGACACTTTAAAAAACAAAAGCTGGAAATTTAGCGAGGAACATGCAGTGTTTAAAGCTTAGTGTAAGTCTTTTATGTTACAAGGGAGTTTTAAACATTTTTGCCTAATTTGGGGAATAAATAATCATCGTGTGTTATGCTGAAATCTTTTCTTAGAGTTATTAAATGTTTTTCGGATGCTTTGCGTGGATTGCAGGATATTAGATAAGTAATACATCATTCAGGAAGAGCTTTTTTGATTAATCTTTTCATATGGCCACGCCGGAAGGATACACGGTGTTGGTTTTCATCACGATAGCGATTCAAAACTCCCTTTTGCTGATTATCGATAGTAGAGAATTTAATCAACGAAAACGGCAATTGCAGCGAGAACGTCATCTTAAAATCTTAATAGTAGTAATGATCTCTTCGCGAGTATTTCAACCTTTCAATTAATTCAAAGCAGTGCCGCTTGGCCAAGAATGAAACTGGTATTGACGGCACTTGCTTCGCGGGAGAAAACCTCGTGTACTGAGGTTCGTCACAAAACGTTAGGAAACAACAAGGTGTACTAACATGCAAAACGCACGTGCAGGGCGTACAAAGCTGTTGTTTTTGTCTTTATATTTGCAAATATATATACATGTATATGCTTACATCGTGCTGTAGACATTCTAGAAAATTTTGTTGAAAAATGTCATCACCTAATTAACCGTAGCATCCCGATAGACGCACCACGCGCCCACCCAGTATGTATCGTTTTCAAATTTTCATATAGGTCTTATTGTAACCTGCCTCGTCCCCAGTCGCTCGCGATCACTGGCGGATATTTGAGTTAATTATTAAGGAAAGCGGGTACGAAGGGAGTGACGGGAAGGGGAGAAAAAGCGAAGCGACTTTCCCCTCTCTCTCCTTTTCCTTCCCATCACTCCCTACTCGCGCTCTACGCTCTCGTACCCATCATCCCTCTCTCGCGCTTCTCGCGTGCTCGCGAGTTCCCCAATCCCCACTTAGCCTTGGGAAAGCCTGTGGAGGAGGCAGGATTGTAACAGTTTTTCTGGCAGTTGCCTGATGATTGCTTCCGATGAAGCATGAAACTCTGTTGGTATACAGGTTAGGAAATATTTAATGACCATCTGGTGTGTGAATTTATTGCGTGTTATTCGGAATTTTTAGTTGCGTGAACCTTTTTAGAGTGAAATTTGAATTTTGAACTGTGTGAACCGTTTCGAGTGAAAGCGTGAATTACATTTATAATATTTACTGGAGAGTTAGGTTGACAACGCCTTAAAAAACGTGACCTGTTCTCGAAGACCTTTTAGACAAACGCGATTGTGAGATTGTCACTAAGCAACACTCAATTAACCAAAATATTCTCTAGGAATAAGCACGTACGAAAAAGTTCTCACAAGAAACTTGTAATGTGCTAAGACCCGTCCTTTTGTTAACATTGCGTTGACGTTGGTCAACTTAATTACTTTTGCCTCGTAGTTATGAATGACTTTTGGTCTAGTTAATCCTCCTGAACAAATCACTCGAGTTGATTTAAGTACAAGTTAAGCTTGCGTTATGTCATAGTCTGACAATCTTTCATAAAACTAATACACCTTTTGCTGTTCATAACGAGAAAATACGCATTAATTTGCGTGAAACGGGGACCAACAGCACAAAGGTACATTCATTAGCGCGAAAAAGCGAACATTTGCGCATAAATCAGATTCAATAACGATGATTGCATTTTAATCAACATTTAATAACATTTTTGGGCATTCATTTGCGTCACTCGACATTCAAAAGAGAAAAATATACTTTCATTAATGTATGTCAGTTGTCCCTATTGACTTTCAAGATAGTGTTAATGACCTTGATGTTGGCGTTAGTGAAAGTATATTTTTCTCTTTTGTATGCTCAATGACTCATATGAATGCCCAAAAGTGTTATTGAATGTTGATTAAAATGCAAAAATCGTAATTGAATCTGATTTATGGGCAAATGTTCGTATTTTCGCGCTAATGAATGTATCTTTGCACTATTGGTCGCCGTTTCACTCAAATGATTGAGTATTTTCTCGTAATGAACAGCAAAGGTGTAGTACGCAGGGCTGTCAATAAGGGCTGGTAGCCGGCTAGTTAGCCATCCTTAGCCGGCTACTGTGATCTCCTTCTACCCTACCTGCGAACAAAAAGTAAGCACTATCGAATAAAATTGTAAAGCATCCGTTTCCCAGGATGAACTTTTTGACGGCCCTGAGTACCACGGAGTGAGTTAAGATTATAACTTATTAATCCTTAACCGTGCTAGTTTTACCAATATGAACTGTGGAACCAGTTGGTTCCGTCCTGGAAAAGATCAATGGAACTTTTGTTTTAATTAGGTACTTAAGTTGTTTATGACACAGGTTAATTAAACTTTGCTCTTTAAGAGTTTGCTAGTAGAAAAAAACAGATCACGTTCTAAGAGTACAACGCAACTATTTCGGACAACCGCGGTGGTTGGTATAAGAATTTGTCCAGTGCTAAGGTTGTTTCAGTGCCTGTTAGTGTTAATTCTGCGAGTTGCAAATCAAAGTTTACAACTCGGTACGAAACTAGGAGTGGTTTCTTAATCCCTGAAAAGAAGGCGCTGTTGCTATGAACTCGCCGCCGAAATAATAGTTATCCATCTTCAACCAATCAAGGTGCGTTGTCGGACTTGATGCGTGGTATGAACAAGTATACGTTTTGCACAAGAGCGTCACTCTGTACTTGGACCTCTTGCCTTACAGACATTAAAGCTTTCTCTCCTGATAGTTTTGCCAAGTCTCTAAATCTGTCCCGTAACAACTCTGAGTAGCAATTAAATGCCTTGGACCAAATAATCCAGCTCTTCGACTACATTATTATCTATTGCTCTATTGAGCACTCTAACAGCCGATGAGGATTTCAACTCAATGTTTGGTTATATATATATCTGACTGAATTTATGAAAACATGGCTTCAGTGAGTGTCTACTGACAGGTCCTATGCTAAGTGTGTCCTTGGTAACAAGACTTTGACCCTCCTTACCCAGGACAATATATAGGTGACTGTCTGCGCCTCCCAATGCGCTCTACAATTTTCATGATAAGCATTCACAGCAGAGGCCTGATGCAGCTCGCTAGGGCAAATTAACAACAAGGTACTTGCCAGTCAAAGCCTCTACTGAACACTGCTGCTTACTGAAGGGGTTTTGTCAAAACAGCCCCCTCCCTACCCCACTATAGCTAGTTTTGACCCTTAGGCCTGATCCACCCACCCACTGTTAGGGCAGTCCCTAGGCTATCCAGCTGTACCGACCAAAACGGCAAGTCCCCTACTTTTTTGGACACCGGACTGGCCTGGAGCCGGGTTGCGGCCGACTATTAAGCGATCTATTAGGAAATTAGTTGCTCCTTGTGATGACACATGAATTAATATCATAGACAAATTTGGCCAGATTCTTGAGTGTGGCTTTAACTTGACCTCTAAAAAATTTACTTTCTTATTAGAAAGAGCTTGTGTAGCAAGTTACCTTACAGCATATGCCTCAGTAAAAGACATTTAAGCGATCTATGACGAACTTAGTTGCTGCTTGTAATTACACATGAACGGGCCTTTTGCATTAGTTGATCATGTGATCAACTTTCGGTAAACACGAAAATAGTTCGCTTTTGAGGAATTCTGTTAGTACGAGCTAAAAGAGCATATTAAAATTAGGTAACGTGTAAATTTTCAGCCGTATATCTCAAAAGTGGCGATTGCAACGGCCGACCCAAGCTCGGTGCGTAAATTACCGCGAGTTTCGATACTGTTTTGCAAATTACGACCGATTTAAAGACTTTGTATGAGAAATTCAATATAGTTGTTAAAACGTAGAAATATATGTATGAAAATAGATATAAATTGTACTTTCGCGAACTTGGGCCTGTAGTTGCTTTTTCTGTGAAACCTGTGCTCAATTCATGGCCATATTATAAGGTTTTACGGCTCGTTTATTCGGTGTTGTTTTCCTACATAAAGCGAAGCAAGGCAGGTCACTGTGTGCAGTCTCAACTCACAAATCTCTCCCGCATCAAAGAACCGCGCACTGATTCACCATATAAGGGCCAAATCCTTTAGACATGGTCAGTCTCTTAGGCTTCCCCTAGTCATGGGTATTGCGATGTCACGGTTTTTTGTGGAATTTTGTTTTTAATTTTTGGTTCTGGGCAATCTGACGTGCGCTCAGGAAACTCGATGACTACTTGTTGCGTGGTGAACGCGAACATGGACTCAGGGGAACCAGGTAGTCAATACTGCATGGCAAAACATGGATCTTCTTACCCTCAGATGGTCTGCTGATTGCGCGTGAGCGGTGTTTGGAGTTATCCAGTTGGATGAGCGTATTTAAGATGTTCGCATTCACCACGTAACAGGTAGTCATCGAGTTTCCTGAGCACACGTCAGATTGCCTTAAACCAAAAAGTTTAAAAAACATTTTCCACAAAAAAACACTTTGCAATACCCATTGGTATGGGTCAGCGGTCAGCGATGATGATGGCCGCGTCTTTTGAAGCTTGATAGTTTTGTGTTTTAATGAATAACAAAGCTATATTAGAACTAGAAATACGTGTATCGCAGAAACTCGCGAAGCTCGGGGTGGGGGAATGCCCATAAAAATGTCAGGGATGGAAGGGGGGGGAGAGAATCGGAGTAAATTGTGTAGCTTGGGAGGGCGGGTTTCAGATGGAATATGTTTAACTTAGGTGAATATGCAGAATATATCACCTCCCTCTGACTTCTTTGAAAGAGTCCAATTTCCTGACTTGATAAATTGTCTCTTATGGGTAAAAGAATTAATTTTCCTGGCATTGTTACAGATGTCACACACTGATATCGTGAGGAGATCCGAAATACAGATGTTCTTTTCGAATAAATAGGATATCTAAAATAGGAGGCCAGCAATAATAAATTTTTGTTATGTTTGACTTAAAAGACACAGCTGTGTTTATGTATAAGGCTGCTAAACATAGATATATATTTTTACGTGGGATGGTTTTGGAGAAGTAAATGTAATAAAAATTGTAAACGAAAATTTTGTTCAGTAAGGACTTTGTTTACAGATGTAACGCATCCCAACATGTCACACATTATCGGTGTTATAAACTGTTCCTTGTAAAATAAAGCTTACTGTAAAACCCAATGTTGCTCATAGTGTAAAGACTGATAGGCTGTCCTCAGTCCGTTAGAAAGATGTTCTTGACGCGGTCAGTGTAAAACGCAGACTGCGGACTGCAGACTGCAGACTGCAGACTGCAGACTGCAGACTGCGGACTGCAGACTGCAGACTGCAGACTGCGGACTGCAGACTGCAGACTGCAGACTGCGGACCAGGGGTGTAGACTAAGAGTAAAACGCAGGCTGGGGTAAAATGCAGACCGAGCATAGAATGTAGTCGTGGAAGGGTTTAAGGGCAAAAAAATCCCGCAAATACATGTAAACGAACACTTACTTGATGACATCTGCTTTCACAAATCCATTCCTTTCTTCTCTGGAACGTCGTCGACGACCCGAAAACATAATCGTAATCTTGAACCTTTTTTCCATCCGAGAGACTCCCACTTCAACTTTTGATGCGAAGTTTTCGATATACGTGACCAGGGACCGTGAACTGGTACAACACCACGATGTTTACGCTTAAATGAAAGCTGCTGACCCAAAATACTGTACAGGAATTATGGCGATAATCCAACAACAAAGAAAAGATGTTCTGTAGGAAATTTGGATGACCTTCTATGAAAGTATTACAAATCAAGGTACGCAGACTTAAGCTGTTTGGATGTTCATTGAAACTTCTGGCGAATGTGCAATTCACTTCGACTAGGGAGGCCTTCCAAGGGGGGTAGCTGTGTCGCAATGTCGCTTGCTTTAGGAGACCGTTGTCGCCTAATCTACAGCTGCAAATGTCGCTGTCGTTTTTTGAAGTGTACGTAACTGTACCAGTCATTTTTGTTTTGCGAGAAACTGTTTCGCAACAGGGCTATAACAGGATTTTCGTGGTGGTCAGTTGGCAAAACTTTGTGAACGGCGAAGGATGAACGCTTCTTCTTCTTCTTTAAGGGTAGGCTCCCGCGGGAAAATTTGGAAAATCTGAACCCTCAGAAATGCAATTTCCTGTATTCTGAGTAACTTTTATTGATAAAATGCACAACTTTCCAATGTCACCGTCGTTTTTCACTGTTTAGTATGTCGCTGTCGCATTTTAGCAGCGTAGGCATGTCACTTCTCGCTTTTTAAAAATTCCCATGTTCGCCAGTTTTCAGGGCCGTGTCGCATGTCGCTTTTACCCCTTGGAAGGCCTCACTAGGAAGCGAAGTGTGTAACTGATACCGGCTAGCTATTTCACCGATTTGGAGAAGAAGGAGCACAAATGTTTAAAAAAGTCTACAGTCTTTTTTCTGCATTTCACCCCAGCCTGCGTTTTACTCTTAGTCTGCAGTCTGCATTTTACACTCAGTCTGCATTTTACCCCTGGTCCGCAGTCTGCAGTCTGCAGTCCGCAGTCTGCGTTTTGCACTGACCGATTCTTGACGTACATTGTACAGATCGTGTAACTGTTGCTGCCGCTTGTCGTTGCATCGAAGAAGATAATTTAACTGTAAACTGTAAGCAGTGTAAGCGTTGCCTA